TGGTCGCAGCCCCGAAGACATCTGTCCTCAATGACTTAGCTTATGTCAGGCTGACATAAAACTAGCTGGGACAATTGACTTCCAGTCAACTTGACACAGCAATACATCACTATTTAACAATAACCTTCCTTTTTTTGTTCATCTCCAGAAATCCCATATTAATAAATATCACAATATAAAACATATTACAAACTTAAAATCCTACAGTCTTTACAAATTCAAACACCTTACAAATTCAGTGTCTTTGCCAGGTCATGGTGGCACACGCCTTTGATCCCAGCACTCAGGAGGCAGAGGCAGGCGGATCTCTGTGAGTTTGATGTCAGTCTGATTTATAGAGTAAGTTCCAGGACAGCCAGGGTTGCACAGAGAAACCCTGTCTCAAAAAAACAGAACAAACAACAACAACAAAATTCAATGTCTTTAAAAATCCAAAATCTCTTTGAAAGTTCAAAGTCTCTCAACTGTGAGGTCCTATAAAATCAAAATAAATCCTTATTCCAAGAGGGAAGAACCAGGACACAGTCACAATCAGATCAAAAGCAAAACCTAAACCCGACTTCTGGGACTCACTCAAGATCTTCTGGCTCCTCCCATACTGCTCACAGCTTATCTCATAAGCTCAGGTTGGCTCCACTCCATGGCTGCTACTGTCCTGGCCGTCATCCCACGGCATTGATGACTCCAAAGTCCTGAGTCTCCTGCTGCAACTGAGCTGTACTTCCATCTGCAGTCTCCCCCGGGCTCTCTTCCATCTGCAGTCCCTCCTGGGCTCTCTCCACAGTGCCAAGCCTTAATCTCTGCATGGCCCCTTCAATCTGGGGCTTCAGCTGCTATTGCGGCTGTACCTTAAACAGTGGTCTCTTCTGGCCTCTCATAGTGCTAAGCCCCAGCTGCTCTCCATGAACCCTCCACGCCTTCAAAACTAGTACCACCTGGGAGATGTAGACATGATGATGTTTGGCTGCCAGCAAGAGGTACAGCGGTGGCTTCCTCTGGAACTTGTGTGTGCCAACCCTGAGGAAACACTCTCAGAAGATTTCACCCAATGATGCCAATAGGTTTCTGTAACTCAGTGATAGGTTTCTCCACTGACGAAGTAAGCTAGATCAAGCTGAATTGAAAAAAAAGAAAAAGAACAGGTTTATTTGAGCAAAGTAACTCCTGGATGAGTTCTCAAACTGGGTGGGAACCTAGAGGCAGGAGCTGATGTAGAGAAACCCTGTCACCTTGGAGAGAGAGAGAGAGAGAGAGAGAGAGAGAGAGAGAGAGAGAGAGAGAGATGGCTAAATCAGGTATAGTTTCTCACACTTGTAAGTCTAGCACTGTGTCATTAGGGCAGGAGGATCACAGAGAGTCTGAGGTCAGCCCAGGCAACAGAATGAGTTCCAGGCCAGTCTGGACTACAGTGTAAGGCCCTGTCTTAGAAAAACAAAAAAAGAGGGCCATAGAGATGGCTCAGTGGCTAAGAGCACTTGCTGCTCTTACAGAAGGCCTGGTTTTGGTTCACAACAGTCTGTAACTCCAGTTCCAGGGGATCTGACTATCTCTTCTGACCTCTGTGGGCACCGGGTGCTACACACACACACACACACACACACACACACACACACACACACACAGAGAGAGAGAGAGAGAGATGCTCACACATATAAATAAGTAAAGCTTTGAAAAACTAAAAAGAGGGGCTGGAGAGATGGCTCAGAGGTTAAGAACACTGACTGCTCTTCCAGAGGTCCTGAGTTCAACCACATGGTGGCTCACAACCATCTGTAATGATATCTGGTGCCCTCTTCTGGCCTGGAGGCAGGCATACATGCAGACAGAATATTGGATACATAATAAATAAGTAAATCTTAAAAAAAGAAAAAGAAAGCCGGGTGGTGGTGGCGCACGCCTTTAATCCCAGCACTTGGGAGGCAGAGGCAGGCAGATCTCTGTGAGTTCCAGGCCGGGCTGGACCGATAGCCTCCGAAACAATACAGAGAAACCCTGTCTCTTAAAAACCAAAAAAAAAAAAAAAAAAAAACTGAAAAGAAGATGAGCTTGGAGTCACTAGACCCCGTTTTCAGTTCTTCCTTCCAGTGTGGCTACACTGAATAAATCTCCCTGTGCTTTTCACTGAAAAGATAGATTAAGTAAAGACATGGTCCACAGAGCAGGGGATGTACATTTCTAATGTGTGAACAAGTGTCTGTTGTTGCTATGGAAACTCTTTGGAGACAAGGTTCCACTATACAATTGAGGCTGCCTTGACCTTGTTAGTTAGCCCAGGCTGACCTAGAACTTGAGATCTTCCTGCCTCCTTTGCTGGGATTGCAGATATGCATGTCCAGCCACCTCTTTCTCTTTATTTTCTTGCCCCCTTCTTTTTCTCCCATTCCTATAGCTAATGTTGCCCTTGACCTCACTCAGTAGCTGAGGGTGACTTTCCACTCCTAATGCTCCTGCCTGTATCCCCTGAGTGCTGGGGTTACAGGTCTAGGCCACCACACTTGCCTATTTTTGTTTTGAATCAGGGTCTCATCCTGTAGTGCAAGCTAGTCTGAAATTTGCTATGTTGCCTCTGTTGCCTTCACAAGTGCTGGGATTAGAAGCAGGAGCTACCACATCTGACTTTCATTTTCTTTCTTGATAGTAAGTAAATAAATAATGATAAGTATTGGAAAGAACAGTATCTTACAGTATGTGATTATGGTATCTCATTAGATTACCCCATGAGGTTATTATAAAGTGTAAGGATTAAATCAATTATATATAACGTTTACAGGCTCAGAACCAAAGTTAGCGCCAGATAAGAACTATCGTTATTAAAGATTTACAAAATGAGTCATTGTTAATGTAATAGTAGCGTCCTCCACTCTGACTTCTTATATGTCATAAACAGTAAGCTTTTGAGAAATACAAAAGGAAAATTAGATGTTTCTCCAGTGTGAAAATAATGGCCTTGGAAATTAATTATCAAGACCATCAAAGCAAAAGAAAGCCCTAGAGAACACAGTAGCATCTTAGGGAGCCAGACTCCTACACTCTTCTCAGAGAAAGGGATACTCGTGAAATCTCTTTGGAAACTGCCCAGACATAAACCCTGGATGTTGCCCAAATGATATTTGATCAAGAGTCCCAAGAATGCATAACAAGAAAGGGATAGTCTCCTCATACATGATGCTGGGGGAAACTGATATTCCCAGGCAAGATAGTGAAGTCAGATTATCTTCCTACAGTGCAATAACAAATTAAGTCTCAGTACTTGGGAGGTAGGACAAGAGAATTGTGAGTTTAGGGCCATACTCTGCCACATATGAGGTCCAGGAAAACTGTGTTAAATAAAAGTAAAATCCATGCTTGGTGGTTACCTGAATAGATGTATGTGCACCATGTGCCCAAGGAGGCAAGAAGCAGGTGTCAGATCTCCTGGACCTGGGGCTGCAGATGGTTTAAGCTGCCATGTTGGTGCTGGGATTGTGACCCAATCCTCTGTAAGAATAGAAGGTGCTCTTAATATTGAGCAAGCTCACCAGCCCTTCCTTGTTTTCTGTTCTATTTGTTTGGGAGAGGTTCTCTCTATTTGAAGTACTGGCTCTTGGGACCCACTATATAGAACGGGCTCGTTTCCAATTCAGAGATCCACCTGCTTCTGCTTCTGAAGACTGCTGGGATTACAGGTGTGTATCACTATGCCTGGCTTCATTGTTTTAAAGATTTGTTTTTATTTATGTGGATGCGTGTGTTGTGTGTCTGTGTGAATGAACACCATATGTATATGGTGCCTTCGGAGGCCTGAAGAGAGCGTTGGGTTCCCTGGAACTGGAGTTACAGGCTGCTGTCAGTCACCTGATTTGGATGTGGGGGACCTAATTCAAGTTCTCTGAAAAGCAGCAAGTGCTCCTAACTGTGGAACCCTCTCTCTAGCCACTGGTGCCGACGCCCTCCTCCTTGTCCTTGGGATTGAGCCCGGTGCTTCATACATGCTATCCAAGTGTCCTGCTACTGGGTATAATACCCTTTTTATTTATTTTGAGACAGGCTAGCCCAGGCTAGTCTTGAGCCTTGAACTTGATGTCCTCCTTTTCAGCTTCCCCAGTAGCTTGGGTTTACAAACCTGTCCTACCAGGTCTGGCACTTTTGGTAATTCCCCATTGGCCAGCAGCACAATGAAGCTTATTTTTGTTAGTTAGTTTTTTTGTTTTGATACAGGGAATCTCTGTGTAGCCCCGGCTGTTCTGGAACTCACTTCTTAGACTTCTCGAATTCAGAGATCGGCCAGCCTCTGCCTCCCTGAGTGCTGGGATTTAAAGGTGTGTGTCACCATGGTCTGGTGAAAGATGGTTTTTCTCTTTATTCAAGGAAAGGGAAAGTTGAGTGGTCAACTCATTCCAGAAACCACTGAGTTCTATACAAATATCCGGATCTTGTAGGTTTGGGTTTATTGATTGGTTGCATATGAACAGGACGTTCCTGGGAAGACTAGTCAAGTCAGTCATCCAGGAAAACACCCAAGATCCTGGCGAGAACGGCCAGATGATGAATTGATGAATTGGTTAAATTGTAGCAAACTAGAAGGCTGGCCCTCCCTCCCTCCCTCTCTCCCTCTCTCCCTCCCTCTGTCTTAAAATACGTTCTCAGTATGTAGACTACACCTCGGGCTGCCAGGGCCTCCTAGCTTAGGAGTGCCACAGGTGAGGTGACAGACTGGCTGGCTCGACAGGCACCCTTGCAGGGGGCCTACAGAACCCAGGCGAAGGGTCACAGCCTCAGGGGGCTTGGGTGAAGCTGCATCCTTGAAGAGTGGGCAAGGGCCGTCGAGGCAGTGGGGGGGGGGGGCGGCAGCTCCAGGCCGACCCAGGCAGCAGAAAAGCTGGCGAAGCTTGAGGTGGGAATAACGGAGTGCGCGTCCCGGGGGCAGTCTTCTCGGCTGCCTCCAGCGCGCCTCATGGTTTGCGACAGACTGCTTTGCGGCTCGGGTCGCCTTCTGGCTTGACTTACGGCTCCTCCTTCTGTTATGCCTTGGGTGCGGACCTCCTTCCTGGCGTCCCCCGGGCTTACTCCTCCGTGTCTTCCGCGAGGCCCTCTGCGGCTTCCCGGCGGCGGGACTGAGCACCTGCGTGCACCGCGTTCCGAGGCGCGTGAGTGGGTGGTTTCGGCGGGGTCGCGGAGCCTGGGGCCCCTCGGATTCGGACTGGAATTCCTCGGGCGGCGGCTGAGCACGTCCTCCGCGGGGGCGTCTCAGCTGGAGAGGCCGAAGCCGGAAGCCCCCAGGGCTCCGCTGGTGCTGGGGCGAGGCGCCGGGTCCGGGGATGCTGGCCTCGTGCTTGGGAGGGCAGCTGCCCTGGAGGTGGTGCCACCGGCGCGGTAACTGTCAGGGAGTGGGTGGAGTTGGGAAGAACCGGTGAACTTAAAGGATTTGACATCCAGGGTAGCCGCATATTTCAACCCTTCTGAACTTTGACTTCTGGTTTTCGAGACAGGGTTTCTCTGTGTAGCTTTGTAGACCAGGCTGGCCTGGAACTCACAGAGATCCGCCTGCCTCTGCCTCTCTAGTGTTGCGATTAAAGGCGTGCGCCACCAACGCCCAGCTTCCTTCTGGGCTTTGAAAACTGAGGTGTGCACTAGCACACTAAATTCTCTCCTTGGAGGTGTACGGTTCTGTGACTATTACTATATGTTTTCGGGGTTGTGCAACCCCTAGCATTCTCGAATTTCACAACATTTTCATTACCCCTAAATAAATCCTGAAGCCCTCCGGTTTCCCCTACTCCCAGCACCTCTTCTCCTTTGTGTCTGTGAACTTGCCTGTTTCACTTGTGTGAAATAATACAGTACTTTTAATGTTTCAGCTGAATAAAGTCCCGTTGTGTGTATCCCGTTTTCATTACCCATCAATTGATAAGTTGATGGCCGTCTAGGCCAGAGCAGCATATGAACAGATGCACAGGTAGCTCACGTGGTTGGATCTAGAGTCCTTTGGGCATATGCATAGACGAGGGATAGCCATGAGGTAATTCTTTTTAGTTTTGGGGAAATGCTCAACACTAATATCTGTATTGGTTGCACTGATTTATAGTCCCATCAGTAAACCTCCCTCCTAGCCATTTGTTACTTGTTTGCTTTTTTCTTTTTTCTTTTTTCTTTTTCGAGACAGGGTTTCTCTGTGGCTTTGGAGACTGTCCTGGAACTAGCTCTTGTAGACCAGGCTGATCTTGAACTCACAGAGATCCGCCTGCCTCTGCCTCCCAAGTGCTGGGATTAAAGGCGTGTGCCACCAATGCCCGGCGTATTGTTGGCTTGTTGACAACTATTCTGACTGGATTGAGATGGGCTCTCAGTAGTTTTAGTTTACATTTCTTTGGTGGCTCATGATGTTGAACACTTTTAAACAGATGATTGGCCCGGAGCTGTCTGTCTGTCTGTCTCAGTGGTTTCTGTTCTTGGGGAGAACTGAGTTGGGTTCCCAACACTCATTATCAGGTACCTTACAGCCATTTATAACCCCAGCCCCAGGGGATCTGATGCATCTGGCCTCCACAGGCACCTGTACTCACATTCACATACCCACACACAGGCATACAAGTCTGTAATTAAAATCAGTATTTATCCCGCATCCCAGACACGGAGAACGTCTCAGAAGAGACAGGAATTGTGCTGTAACAGTGTGTCTTTTACATGACAAGGACATTATGCCCATGGCATCTTAATATTGCTGCCTTAGTAAGACCTGGGCAATGACAGCACCAGTCGACATGCCATCCATGGGGGAACGCTTCAGGACTCCACCTCCAGGTGAAGAGCTATAGGCAGTTAATGACCAGAACCGAATCCAGAATCCAGAACCGAATGATCAGCCCTAAAATCAAACACACACCTGCTACATGAGATAAACTCAGTAGGCGTGTATTTATATATTCATATATGTGTGTCTGTGTTATGTAAAACAAAGAAAAAAAGGCTATGAAATTTGGAGGGGCATATGGGAGGGATTAGAGGACAGGAAGAGATAATTATATAATTATATTTTAATAAAAATATTGGGGCTAGAGAGATGACTCAGTAGATAAGGGCAGTGGCTGTTCTTCCCAAGGACAGATGTTCAGTTCCCAGCACCCACATGGAGGCTTACAGCTGTCTATAGCTCTAGTTGCAAGGGACGCCTTCTTCTGGACTAGGGGGGCACTATGTACGCCTGTAGTACACAGACATGCATGCAGGCAGAACACACGTACATGTAAACATTCAAATGTTTCTTAACTTTTCAAAAAACAAAAAAACAAAAACGTTGGCTGGGTGGTGGAGGCACACACCTTTAATCCCAGTACTTGTGAGGTAGAGGCATGCAGATCTCTGAGTTTGAGGCCAGTTGGTTCTACAGAGTGAGTTCCAGGACAGCCAGGACTACATAGAGAAACCGTATCTTGGAAAGCAACTCCTTTTCTCTCTCTCTTTTTCTCTGTCATTCTCTTTTCTCTCTCCCTTTCCCTACTTCCTTCCCTTCCCCCAATAAAACTTCCTTCCCATGGTAAAAAAGAAGAAAAGAAAAACCAAAGCAAGCAAGCAAACACAGCTCTTTCTGGGTGTACCGGTGGCGCAAGCCTGCAGTCCTAGCACTTGGGAGGCAGAGGCTGCCCTGATATATGTAGTGAGTTTCAGGCTAGCCAGGGCTACAGAGGAAGGCCCTGTGTCAAAGCAAACAACTGTGGGTGCCGGAGAGATGGCTCAGATGGCTTAGAGGTTAAGATGGCTTAGAGGCTGCTCTTCCAGAGGACTTGGGCTTAATTCCAAGGACCCACATGGCAGCTCACAACTGTCTAAAACTCCAGTTCCAGGGGATCCAACACCCTCCAACAGATATACATATAGGCAAAACAGCAATGCACATAAAAAGTAAATATATATATATAAAATCAAACATCCTTTTAATCCCTTCTAGTCTTAGAAGGTGTTCAGTATGATTTGTCTTGTTATTTTGTGGGTTTTTTTTTTGTTTGTCTTTTGGTTTTTCTAGACAGGGTTTCTCTGTGGCTTTGGAGGCTGTCCTGGAAGTAGCTCTTGTAGACCAGGCTGGTCTTGAATTCACAGATCCGCCTGCTTTTGCCTCCTGAGTGCTGGGACTAAAGGTGTGCGCCACCAACGCCCAGCTTGTTTTGTTATTTTGAACGGCTCTGTATAACTCAGGCTTCAGATCCTGGGCTGCAATGATCCTTCCAATTAAGCGTTTGCCACACCCTCAGTTACAGTGATGATTTGATATACATGTATATGTATGTATATATACTGCATATGTATATATCATACATGCTATAATATACAGATACGTATTATACATGTATTATACATATATATACACACATTAAAACAAAAACTAGCCAGCCAAAAACCAAATATGTAACAGAACATAGTCAGCTCTTATCTTTGCTTTTTCTCTGATTTTCCCCTAATCCTGTCCTTATTGGTGTTTTATTTAAACAGAGTCAACATGGCTGGAGCTGAGGAAATGGTCAATGGGGGCTGTGACGTCCATCCTCCCTTTGCTGGTGCGAAGTCTGTGCTGTGCTTCGGGCAGGTAACTAGTTGCTTCATCCTGGTAGAAGAAGTTTAAGTGAGGAAAGTTTGGATGAAATGACACTGTCATCATATGTGTAAGTTACTTATATTCCTTTCTCCTTTCCATGCAGTATGTTGCTGGAGTTTCTTTCCCACCTGGGTCCCACCAAGGCCTTACCCCCAAATAAGCACACAGACACTATATTAATTATAAAATTGGTGGCTGATGACTAGGGCTTCTTATTGGCTAGCTCTGTCTTAGTTATTAACCCATTAATATAAGTATTTCCACGTGGTCTTGGCTTACCGGAGAATGCCCGGACCTGTTACTCCTTTGCTGGCTGCATGGCATCTCTTCGCAGTCTCTCTCCGCCTACCTTTCCCAGAATTCTCCTCGCCTCCTAGTCCTGCCTGTCTTCCTGCCTCTATTGGCAAAACAGTGTTTTATTCATCAACCAATAAGAGAAACACATATACAGAAGGACATCCCCCGTCAGCAGTATTTGCTGTTTTGCAGTACTGAGGTAGAACTTAGAACTCTAGCACTGAGCTATTATGGCCCCAGCATGGTGTGGTATTTTGTCATTTTGTCATTTTGTTCCAAGGTCCTTAGTAACTAAATGTTTTTGTGAACTTTGCAGTGAAGACCAACAGTAGGGCCAGTGAGGTGGCTTGGCAGATGACACCTGCTGCCAAGCCTGATGACCTGGGGTTGACCCCTGGGGTCCACATGGTAGAGGGGAGAACTGACTCCTGCTGTCCTCTGAGCCTATGGTCACACTGTGCTGTGTACTTCTGTATACACGTGCAAAATAAATACATTTTAGGATGTAATAAAAACTTAAAAGACTAATAGTACAAGGGATTACATTTAGGTGTAAATTATTTGTGTTCATATGTTATAAATTTTTAGCCTATTTGAATATAGTACATGCATGTGAAGCCGCTCTTTGTGTGGAAACTGCACAGAAGAATCTTGTTTTGTCTACACAAATTCTGTCTTTATCAAAGTATTGCTAGCACTTAGCTAATTTAAACAGGAAAAGGGAAGAAACCTTGATGTGTTTGTGTATCTGTGGGATGGGAATTGTGGAACTGGACATTGTAAGAGCTCTGTACTCCTTTTGCCTCGCCTGTGGAATGTAAAGTTTAGGCTCTGAGGCCCATTGGGTTTCTGCTTCAAAGGGCTGGAGCTCCCTTAGTGGGAGAGCTTCTTTAGCTTGTATGAGGCCTTGGGGTCTGTTCCTAGCTCCACGAAGCCAAACTGAAACCTAATTGAGCTTGAAAAAAATTCAAGGATAGCAGCAATACTTTAAAGCAATATTTTTATATTAAATTTTTTTTGTTTTGTTTTTTGAGACAGCGTTTCTCTGTGTAGCCCTGGCTGACCTAGAACTCACTATGTAGACCAGGCTGGCTTCGAATGCACAGCGATCCACCTGCCTTTGCCTCTGAAGTACTGGGATTAAAATGATGTACCACCACAACCAGTTTAATTGTTTGTTTATTCTTCATGCATTCATTTTTTTTTTTTTGAGGCATGGTTTCTTTGTGTAGCCCTGGCTGTTCTATAGACCAGGCTGGCCTCAAACTCACAGAGATCTGCCTGCCTGTTTCCCAAGTGCTAGGATTGAAGGTGTGTACCTCCAACACTTGGCAGCTTTTTTTTTAAAATTTTTATTCTTACATTGTTTTCCTCTTAAGTCCTCCCATATAGTTCCATCTCCCTATCCATCCAACTTCATGCTTTTTTTCTCTCTTTCTCAAAACATATTACAAAACAAATCCCTTTGAACAGGAAAAATACAACAAAACAACCCAAAAATTAAAACAAAAATAGTAAGACAAGAAATGCCCTCCCCCACCCTCAAACAAAACAAAACAACAAAAGAGTGAACTCAAACTCAAGAGGTCACAAAAAGCCCCGTGGAGTTCCTTGTGTCATGGTCAGTGCCGGTGAGTACCAGGCCTGGAGTTCCTTCCTTGTGTGGTGGTCAGTGCCGGTGAGTACTGGGCCTGCCCCAGAGTGTGGCTAGAACTGATCCTTCGTCTCCCAGCAGGTTGCAGGGCGGTTGGCATCTTGGTTAGGGGTGGGACTTTGCATTTACTTCCCCTGCTCAGTGCCAGGATTTTGTGTGGTCTGAACCTGTGCAGGTCTTGTGTGTGTTTCCACAGTCTGAGCTCACGTGTGCATCAGTCATGCGTCTTGGCATCATCTCTGGCTCTTAGAATCTTTCTGCCTCTTCTGCATAGATCCCTGAGCCTTGAGGGGAGGGGGGGCTAATGAAGACATTCCATTTAGGGCCGAGTGGGCCAAAGACTCTTACTCTCTACACATTGTATAGCTGTGTGTCTCTGATGAGGGTTGAGTGAAGCAGAGATCTCTGTGTACGTCATTAGGAGTCATTTTATTGCTATGTTCCTTTGCAGAATAATAGTAGTAGGTTTTCCTCTAGGCCCACGAACTATCTATCTAGTCTCAGGTTCATAGCCATTTAAATTCCCCCCCCCCCCCCCCCACCCCTGACAGGGTTTCTTTGTGTAGCCCTGGCTGTCCTGGAACATACTCTGTAGACGAGACTGGCCTCAGAGATCTGTCTGCCTCTTCCTGTTGAGTGCTGGAATTAAAGGTGTGTGCCACCCCTATCTGGTTTAAAGCAATTTTTAATGAGTGCATAAAGTTATGCTTTTTTAAAGGATACCATGCAATGCTTTGATGTATTTATGTATGTATGTATGTATGTATGTATGTATGTATGTATGTATGATGTGGCTGAGGATGGAGCCCAGAGCTCATGCCTGCTAGGCGGGCATTCTCTTCTTCAGTATTCAAAAGTGGGGGCCGGGCGGTGGTGGCGCATGCCTTTAATCCCAGCACTCGGGAAGCAGAGGCAGGCGGATCTCTGTGAGTTCGAGGCCGGGCTGGACTGACAGCCTCCAAAACAATACAGAGAAACCCTGTCTCATAAAAAAAAAAAAACTGAAAAACAAAAAACAAAAGTGGGAAGAGGTGCTGTGTCTGGAAACTCAGGGAGGGATTTTCTGTGGGAGGAACGACACAGATTGTAATTAGATTTCCCCTTCTGGGTTGTAGAGCCAGTACACAGCAGAGGAGTACCAGGCTATCCAGAGGGCTCTGAGGCAGAGACTGGGCCCAGAATACATCAGCAGCCGCATGGCTGGAGGAGGCCAGAAGGTAAGTCTTGGGTATGCATGCATGTAGCAGTCGACTAGAAGATTCTGCCTCTTGGTTTTACTAGATTCCATGGATTCAGAAGCCTGTCTTCCTGTTACTAGATTCTTTCTAGTTCCTCTTGAAGGGGTGGGTTCCAGACTTCATTGTCATCTGCAGTGACCCAAAAACTGTCTTGAGATTGCTGTAAATTCCATATTGAGATTGTTTTTTCTTTTTTCTTTTTTTGAGACAGTTTCTCTGTGTAACCACTGTGGCTGTCCTGGAACTCGCTCTGTAAACCAGGGTGACCTCGAACTCGCCGAGACCCTCCTGCCTCTGCTTCCCAAGTGCTGGGATTAAAGGCGTGCGCCACTGTAGCACCCAAATCATGACATGGAGACTTAGCATTGGTTACAAATGCTTGGCCTTACCTTGTCCCACCTGTTCTTATAACTTAGTTTAAACTGTTTCTCTTCATCTACATTTTGCTTTGGGGCTTTTTACCTAACCCTCCCCTCCCCGTCCTATTCCATGTCCGTCTGTCTGGCCACTGCCTAGCTTCTGGCCCCAGGTATCCTCTCTCTTCCCCTCATTCTCTCTTCTCTCAAGATTCCTCCCATCTATTCTCTGCCCGCCAGCTCCACCTCTCCCTCCTCTGCTCAGCTATTGCCAGTTCAGCTTTTGTTAGATCAATCAGGTGCAGTAGCTAGGCAAGATAATACAGCAACACATCTTTACATAATATAACAAATGTGACACGTCTTTACATAGTTAAAGTAATATTCCACAAGCCATCACACCAGATCTTGTCTTGGCTCCTGTGCTACGCTGAGCTGCTCATGCTAAAGGCCTGTGCATGGTGTCGGTGCTCCATAAGCTGTGTCAGCCTGACATTTCTTCCCGAGGCTGGTCCCTTCCAGAGACTGACTGCTAGTTCCAGTTGGATTTTTCCAAAAGTCTCTGAAATACTTTGAGATTTCCTGTGGAAAGACGGTTTTGCCAAAAACATATGAGGAATAAATGAATTTTAATTCACATTAAAAAATACCAAGGACATTTTTACAGCTTTTTCTTAAAAATTTATATTCTAGGTGTGTTATATTGAAGGTCATCGAGTAATTAACTTGGCCAATGAGATGTTTGGTTACAACGGCTGGGCACACTCCATCACCCAGCAGAATGTGGGTATGTTCTGTGCGTGTGCTGACTTCATGTTCCTTACTTCATAACTGTTTACTCCCGCTTAGACAGTTACTGAGTCAGGATGTGGGTAGGTGGGTTTGATTGCCAGCCAAGGAAAGTGGGTGAGGTGCAGGGATCAGTATCTTTCCAACTGGATCTCTTTCCTATTCCTAGATTTTGTTGACCTCAACAATGGCAAATTCTACGTGGGAGTCTGTGCATTTGTAAGGGTGCAGTTAAAGGTGAGGGGTGGGGTGCCACTGCTTCCTGAGCAGACAGAGTGAGCAGGGGGAGTCTTGAGTGTAGACCTGGGGTGTCTCTTGACCAGGGTGCCTAGGATGGCTGTATTCAGATATCCTTGCTCATCTGCCCTCAAAGGAGAGTTTAAAGGATGTGTCCGACTCATTTGAAGTTGATACACAAAAGTTTGACCACATAAATATAAAAGGAGTGTGTGTGTGTGTGTATAAGTGTCTAATGTGACAGTCAAATCTTTTTATAATATAACAAAAACCTAAGTGCCATAGGGGATTAAATGCTATCATTTATTTGAAGCAATGCTGTGTCCCATACCCCTTACCTAAGGTTAGAGCAGTGGTTCTCTACCTATGGGTATTGACCCCTTTGGGAGTCAAAAGACTCTTTTACAGGGGTCACTAAGACAAGCTGCAATATCAGATATTTACATTACAATTCATAACAGTAGCAAAATTATAGTTAGGAAGTAGCTATGAAATAGTTTTATGGTTGGGGTCACCACAACATGAGGAACTGTATTAAAGGACTGTGGCGTTAGGGAGGTTGAGAACCCCTGGCCTAAACATCTCACTGTGTAGACCCCAGGTACCTGAGGCTCAGACTTCCTTTCTCTGTCTCGTGCGTGCTGAGATGACAGGCATGTGCTTCCATTAGCTTTAGAAAAATCTCAGTGTGTAGCTTGGGTTATGCTTAAGCTCGCAGTCCTCTTGCTTCTCATCGTCTGAGTCCTGGGGTTATAGGACTGTGCTACCATGTCCTGTTGAGCTACACTTGTGTCAGAAATTTCCTTGTCCTGGTTTTGACTCTGAACTATTTCCTGCTGCTTTTGTCCGAATATATTTATGACTGAAAGTTTCATTTATAGCTCCATTGTACTTCTACATGTGTGTGTTATTGGGCGCATGTGTGGGTGCGTGTGTGAGAATAAATTGGTTTTGGCCAATTTCTTTTGACCTTACAGTTTTAAATATTTTAATGATTTGGCACTGACCACAGGCATGTTTCCAGGCAGATCTGCTCCAGGCACAGTTCTAGAACACAGCTCTGTGCTGTGTCCTCTTGAGCAGGGTCCTGTCTCAGGGAGGGGGTGTTGGTTTCTTTTTTTTGAGTGCTGTTGTTCAGGGAACAGGATTACAACTTTCGTGTCAGAGTTCTAACAACATCCTTTTACCTTAGGACGGTTCCTATCATGAGGACGTGGGTTACGGAGTTAGTGAGGGCCTAAGGTCAAAGGCCTTGTCGCTGGAGAAGGCCAGGAAGGAGGCTGTGACTGACGGGCTGAAGCGGGCGCTCAGGTAAGAAAGCTGGGGTCCACCCACCTCATTCTAGCTCATATTTCAGAGAGAGTGCCATGAGAAGGGAGGGGAGCCTCATTTTAGCTTGGGCCCTTGTTTCCTGGCTTTTGTGCTTTCCAGTGACTCCACGCTGGATTCAGACTCCACTATTCTCAGTGCTGGCTCCTCCCTTTGCTCCTGGGAAGGGCTCAGGTGCTTACAGCCTTTCAGCAGATGCCCCATACATCGACTCCGGGAGGTTTAGTTTGCCTAGGTCCTGAGAGAGTTTTTTCAGGATTGATTGGCCTTATTGCTGTGGGTCTGGGGGAAGGACATGCATTATGCCGGAGAAGTTAAGAAACAAACAGAAAACAAACCCAATGATCTGTAGTCCCCAAGGACAAGTCCCCAGCTCCTAAGATCTCATCAGTCTGTCCCACTCCCCAGAGGTCTGACCTTAACAGGTGGTTGAGTGTGGGGCTTGGTCTCCCCGTGAGAGATTTGTGTCAGGTCACTGTTGTGCTCTCAGAAGCTGGTATAATGCAGGAATGTGACATGTTCCATTGCCACTTACTGAATGAAGATGAGGGTCCATTTCCTCTCTTGTAGTTGCAGCTTTGTGATGTTGTGACTCAGATGTCGTAACTGTGAACTGTTTTGCTTTTTTGTTACTGTAGGAGTTTTGGGAATGCACTTGGAAACTGCATTCTGGACAAAGACTATCTGAGGTCACTAAATAAGCTCCCACGACAGGTATGTGAGCTGTGAGGAGTGGGGCGGTGGCTGCTTCCTAACACAGCATGCAACTTCGCCAGCATGTCCTTGAGTGTAGCAGCGGGAAGAAGCGAGGGGTCGGCGTTTGGCAGCATCTAGAATGGTTATTTCAGGGTTGGAAGGTTAATGCTAACAGATGTGACCAGCATATGTGACCAGCCGGCTCCTGCCCCCCCTTGTACTGAGAGCCATGCTGGGTGTGGTCCCTGGCTCCTCTCGAACTGTTGCTGTTCCCTGTACATGCTCAAACTAGCTCATACTAGCCATCTTTCTTCCCTTGGCTCTGGTGGCAGTGAGGCACACACCTCCATTCTGTTCCTGTCACCTCCTTTCTATGAGATCTTAGCACCAGCCTTAGTGTGGTGCACGGTAGATGTGTGGAAGTCAGCTTGGGCTGAGGTGGTGTCTGCCTGGCAGAGTTGCCGTCTCTCTCCCTCAGAGCCCTGTCAGGTGCTGCCCATCCGTCCTCTTATCACAGGACCAGTGGAGTGTCTGCTGGCTTCTGACTCCATACCTGCTTCCTCTTTTCCTCGTAGTTCTTTGCTTTTTAAATTAAATTTTTCTATTATTGCTTTGCTCTTTAAATTCTGTGTGCAGCCTTACAGTAATGTTATTGTGTACTAGTGTTGATTGGAGGACTTTGTATTCTGTCTTTGTGTCATTTCCTTTTGAATTGGAAGGACTGCAGCTTTTCTTTATTTCCTCCCTCCCCTTTCTTCCATTTCCTCTTTCCTTCCCTTCTGAGACAGCGTCTCAAGGTGTAGCCTGGGTTGGCCTCCAGCTTGCAGCTGTCCTCTGCCAATGCCTCCTAGAGCGCTGCTGGGCTTGTGAGCCACTGTGCAGAAAAAAGGGCATAAGCAGACACCAAAGACAGGTCAGCCTCCAGGGAAGAGTCAAGTTAGCGTATATAGACACATATAGACTACTTTCATCAAAAGACAGGTCAGCCTCCAGGGAAGAGTCAAGTTAGCGTATATAGAGACATATAGACTACTCTCATCAAAAGACAGGTCAGCCTCCAGGGAAGAGTCAAGTTAGAGCATATAGACACATATAGACTACTTTCATCAAAAGACAGGTCAGCCTCCAGGGAAGAGTCAAGTTAGAGTATATAGACATATAGACTCCTTTCATCAAAAGCAAAGATTCATTTTTATTGTAACTTGACTTATGCAGATGAATTGCTTTTGCTAAAGTATGCCAGCTGCCTGCAGCCCCAGCTGCTCAGGCTTGCCTGGGCCCTGGAGTTTGCCATCAGTGTGGGACACAGAGAGTCAAGTTCAAAAACAAACCAAGCAACTTGGAAGTTGTGGGTCATTTCTCTCAGCTTCTGGGGGGCTTACGAGATCCTTTAGGTCAAGGATCAGCAAGTGTCTGCAGGAGAGCATGACGGAAGGAAAGCAGGGTATGGGGTACCTTCAGTTTTCCTACTTTTTCTCTTACCAGCTCCCTCTTGAAGTGGATTTAACTAAAGCAAAGAGAGAAGATTTTGAACCATCTGTGGAACAGGCAAGATATAACAGCTGCCGACAGAATGAAGCACCGGGACCCCCAAAACCACAAGAAGCGACTTCTCCTTGCAGACCAAACCACCCGCATGATTCGGACATTAGGCTGCAGGGGGTTAAGGACTGCAGCAGCTCCTGGTACTGGACACAGGTTCCCTCCCTTTCCTCTTCCGCCCCTTCTAGTGTGGCTTTGGTCTCTTCACTCCTGCCTTTGAAACCAGCAAGGGGCTCGTGTGCTTCCTCATGCCGGGTGCATTGTGGTTAACTTGGTTTGCAGCAGTCTGGCCGCCCCCGTGGTGGAGAGTGATGCCATTCACCAGCGCAAGCTCCGGAAGCTCCGGCAGAAGCAGCTACAGCAGCAGTTCCGGCAGCAGATGGAGATGCACCAGCAGGGCCACACACATGCCGCAGAAGTGGAAGCCGAGCGTGTGGGTGTGTAAGGGGTGTCTGCGACTTACTCCAGGTCGTACCTCGCTAGGGCTTCTAGTTCCAGGTAGGACAGGTCACCCCGCAGAATTAGGTTGTAAGAATCTGCCCTGCTCCTTCCCAGTTCCAAAGGGCTTTTTAGGGAAGTCAGTGGGCTATGATTGACATAATCTGTAGCACTTGAGAGGCAGAGGCAGGTGCATCTATGAGTTTCAGGCCAGCCTGGTCTATACAATCTTCCTGGAATTTGTGCCAGGCGGTGTGGCATGCGCCTTTAATCCCAGCACCTGGGAGCCAGAGGTAGGTGGCTCTCCGTGAGTTCGAGGCCAGCCTGGTCTACAGTTACAGGACAGGCTCCAAAGTTACAGAGAAACCCTGTCTCAAAAAACAAAACAAGAAAAAGGAATTGCTTTGCTTGTTTCTGCATTAGGAAGCTTGCATCTTGAATGGCTTTTGAATATAAGATGAAGCTGGAGCTTTTAGCAGATTCTGTACCCAAGAGCTTAAATTAACCTGAGCTTGGGTTTCGCAGAATTAGATGTTGTTGATGTTGTACAGATATTTGTTAAGGACTTTCCTGGTCCATGGAGCCCATTTTCTTATGTAGTGAAGGTGCAGGTTATATGCTGGGTTTATTCTCACCCTCAGCACCACAGCATCAGTAATTTATGAAAAGACAAACCAAAACATAGTCACCGTTCTGGGCATATCTTGAGTAATAAGCCTAAAGTTTCTAGCTGTGCCAGGAGCTTGAAGGGCAGGGATGGGATCCAAGATGTGCTGCCCTGTCCCAGAATCATGGGCTGGAGGCCTTTGCTGTTGATGGAAAATGGGTTGGGGGTGTTGCTTGGATGGTGGAGTGCTCACCTAGCATCCCAGGAGCATCAGATATTCCAGGTCATCTTGGCTTTCTAGGGAATTCCAGGCCTGCCTGGGCTACAAAAGAGACTGTCTCCCACAAACAAAACACCAAACAAACAAACAACAACAACAAAAAAACCCCAAAAAACCCCACACTGGTTCTTCCTACTTTAGTGAGAAGCAGACAGTATACGAGCTAGGTGTATAGTGACAGGCCTGGGAGTCAGGAGCCTGAACACTCAAGATGTGAGAGGGGAATAGACAGACTCAAGTTATTATGACCTCTGGCTTGTTCTTTGTCTCCTGTGCAAACTGTAGCAGTGCTTCCAGACCCTCCCCCGAAACACAGTACCCCTACAACTGCTGCCTCAGAACTCCTCCGGGAGAAAGCTGTCGTTCCAGGTAAATGACTTCAGAATTAACCAGTAAATACTTAGGAGTAAGTTACTGTGCTGTGTACCTTTTGGCAGATTCATGTTTTTGGGAAGGGTTGGGTGCAGTGCTGGGATTGAACCTATGCCTTTGTAATGCTAGGCAGGTGTTCTACCATTGAGCTATATACCCAGCCCATAGATTTCATCTTGTCAATTCTCTCTACCTGGGTCCTGGGTCTTCAACTCAGCTTGTTAGATTTGGAGGCAAGTGACTTTACCTGATTAGCCATCTCTCTGGCTCTCATCTCATTTTTTAAGTCTTTTTTTTTTTTTTTAAGATTTATTATGTATTCAGTGTTCTGTCTGCATGTATACCTGCAGGCCAGTAGAGGGCACCAGATCTCATTATGGACGGTTGTGAGCCACCTTGTGGTTTCTGGGAATTGAACTCAGAATCTCTGGAAGAGCTGAGCCATCTCTCCAGCCCCATTTTTTAAGTTTTACAAAATGGAAAGAGGTTCCCAATGGACCTACTGGAGTTCTGGTACATGTTCCTCTATTCTTTAACCAAAGGAGGGATTTATAAGAGGGCACTCAAAGTGATTTTCCCCCCTTTTTTAACCGAGACAGGGAGTTACTGCCAGGTGTGGAGCTGTCTGTCTTCCTGCTCACTGCTGCCATGTATACCATCACACCTGTCAAAACATGGAAGCTAGTGACTAACACTTTGTTTTCTCTCTGTAGAGAACCCTGAAGACAACCTTGAAATGTGGGACCTGACTCCAGATTTAGAGGATATCATTAAGCCCTTGTCTAGACCAGAACCCCCTCAAACCTCTGCCACCCGAGCCTTCAACAACCAGGTGATCCAGGATGGTGTCCTACACAGCCTTTGCCACCAGATGCCACCAGAAAAACATGAAGCTGGTCACCTGCAGACCTGCAGCACGCACCAGCATGTACTAGGTAGTAGAGTTGTGTGGAAGAACAAAAATTCTAGGTCTAATTCTATAAAATTTAAAGGGAGTGTGTTAGTTCATTTTAAGAAGTTGAATTAGGGGGACTGGAAAGATGGCATACTACTTTTGCAAAGGACCTGGATTTAGCTCCTAGCACACATGTATTGACTCAAAACTGTATACAACTCCAGTTCCAAGGGATTGAACACCCCCTTTCTGGACTCTTGACATCAGACATGTAAATGGTGCATAGACATACATGCAGACAAAACATTCACAAGAAAGGATTAAGATAAAAAAAATTGTTGGGATAAATGGGACATGGTGAGGTGTGTCCAACCTGAGACTCAAGAGAGCTATGAATGTGGCCCAATACAAAGTTAGAAACCAGGCTTGACTGTATCTAGAGATGTCATGAGAATGAGATCCAGTGGTCATTCTCATTCGTGTGTTGTCTGAGTCGGGGTTGCTAGCAAATACAAGCCAGTAACGATTAGCTACTGTTTAAACTCAAGGCTTCTGCATTTTTTTTCAAGACAGGGTTTCTCTGTATTGTTTTGGAGGCTGTCCTGGAACTAGCTCTTGTAGACCTCGAACTCACAGATCTGCCTGCCTCTGCCTCCCAAGTGCTGGGATTAAAGGTGTGCACCACCAATAAGGCTTCTGCATTTTAACCATTTATTTTTCACAGGAAACTCTCATAGGAAGAGCCAGGACCTGAAGAAAAGGAAACTGGATCCATCCTGAAGCTCCAGACATTACTGGATTCTGTCACAAGAAGTTTGGAATTTACAATTTGGTCACAAAATTGTTCCCAAGGTTTTATATAATGGTTCATTCTGAACTCATTAGAGAACTTTAGAGCATACTAGAGCATATAGAGTACTATAAAAAGGCTGCGATACCCTGTGATGGGAGGGAGGCCAACAGATAAAATGCCTTTCCTTTGGCTTTCCAAGTTTTTCTCTACTATTCACTCAGGCTGCCTTCTGTTTAGTGATGCAGCCCATCTACATTAAATTATATGCGAGCTCATCTTTCCTTTGGCTCCAGATTCATGTTTTCCACTAAGTGCTAATAAGGCCATGGTGGTGGTTTCAAGATCACATATGGACTCATGTCAATAGAAGCCTCCCTTTATCTTGAGAGAAGTACCAAAATTTAGAGTATTTAAGTGTCTCTGATTTAGGCCTTCTCCATTGTTAGCACTTACCATGTTCTGTGGTTGTACATAGTTTGTATATAGAAGGAAGGCCAGCATGAATTTTTTCAACTGTACATGATTAAAGTCTCATAATAAAGACTACATCTCAACAGCCTTTTTTTCCACCTTCAGCTGGGTGGGGGATGTTTTCCAAGACTGACAGGGTTTCTCTTTGTAGACCAGACTGGCCTAGAACTCTAAGAGGTCCACCAGTGCCACCACTGCAACCATCATCACCACCCAGCTCTATTTAGTGCATTTTCGAAACACTGAGTAAATTCATGTTTGAACGTTACTAAAACTGGCAAAATTGCGGGATTTACAACTCTGATTACTGGTAGATAGACCTCTCTCATGGCTGTACTTGGCAAAAGCAAAACTACATGGAACAGTGCATATTCTTAACTGCTGAGATCTCTCTCCAGCCCCAGGAATAGTTTTTTTAAGGAAGTAGCTATTCAACTATACCGCCTCTAGTAGTTTAGATTCTTTTCCCAATGAACAATGAATTTGATATTTTACTTAGGCTTAATTTGGGGTTTTCTTTAATTATTTATATTTATTGTGTAGGAAGGAATTGGTAATCTCTTCAGACAATGTGTGTTCCAGGGATCAAGCAGAGACTATTAGGTTTGGTGGGAAGTGTATAATATTGGACAGATAACGTCTCTGGAGACCTGAGACCTAACTCAAATACTTACAGAAATATTGACTGACAGCATACTCCAAGCTTTCACTTTCATTGTTAGCTTGATTTTAGTTTAGGATAAAAGTACTGCTAAAAGCTCTCAAGGAGCAACAAATTCAGTTATAAATTATATAAAATCAAAATAGGACCATAGAGAACAAAAGGCAATTTGGGCTAGAAATGACACCCCACAGCTCAACAAAAGCAAGTTTGGTTTATTTGAATGGTTTCATTAAATAAGTCTACAAAGGTAACAAACTGAAGCACAGAGCGCAATCTTACAAGAAGCGCAACACCCGGAGTTAGTGCAAAATGTACAGTTAACGGCTGTGGAGACACCCAAGGTTTGAATTCAGTTTTAAACAGTGTACATTGTTAAATAATGTAAGGAAAACATTTATAATTCGGAAAGTTCTCTTTAAATGTGGAAAAAGATATTCAAAGTGTATTAACACAAAAAATAATTTAAACAGTTCAGTAGCACTAGCTCGTTCCTCTAGGCTTCAGTTATTTCATCCACAGGAGGGAAAAAAAATCAACAGTAAATAAACTTGTGAATGGGGGTAAAGACCTCAAAATGACTAAAACCAAAACCAACAACACATGCTGCATCTGACACCCTCTGCCACTGGTACAAAGTATTCTCATCCATCCTCCAACCCGTTTCATTTCCGTAGCACCTTTTACCCTCTTCAAAAAGGAATAAATGAGCCAACATTTTGGTAGCAGGACCTGAAACAATGCTCTTTCCACTTCCCTCTCCTAAAACTTTCAGCTCTCACATGTATCTTTTGGCCTAGACCAACTTAAAGACAACAGACTCTTCAAAGGGTGCAGGTAGCCAGGCTCTGTTTGGTCTAGTGCATAACTCCTGGGATGTGTCATGAGGTTGGAAATGGGACAGTTCCCAACACAAGGTCAAGGAGGGAAGCACCCAAGAAATGAGGACTTCTACTTCTCTCTCTCCACTTTCTCAGATTATTCAGATTCCAAACAGCCAATTAGGTCAGTATTGACAGAAAACTGCCTGTTTTAACAACTAGGCATAGCACTAGATAATACTGGTTGGTTGCAGTTATGTGGGGATATGGGTATGAAAATGTTAAGAGTATTAGTTCTAATATAGAAGTACAGGTGGCACATAGATTCTGACTGTGCAACCATTTGGACATTGTAGAAGGGGTAGGAAAGGAAATAAGCATTTTCCTACAATGCCTAGAAAGTCAGAAGTGGGTCTGTTTTCTACAATACAGTACTTCAAGTGGAGAAATGTGTGGTACATGTACAAAATGTGGGGGCAACTAAGCAGGTTTCCGTAGAGCAACCTTTTCCATCTGTGACTTGGCACTGTCATCCTTTCCAACTTAGAATCTAGCCCACTCCCATCTCATTTTGTTGAATTTCTTTTAGGTCTTGCTTGTTCACTGGCTGGGCATCACTTCAAGCAAGCTTGTCCCCACATCTCCAGTCCTTGTCTTTCACACAGCTCACAACCCCCCCTCACTCTTTCTGAAACAGAACTTTGTTTTCAACCTCTGATGCCAACTTCTCACTGCTCATCTCACACCTGCTCTAGGCAAAACTGTTGAACGATTGAAAAAAAAAAACAGAACAAAACAAAAACAACAACAAAAAACCCACTTTCATTTTCCCTTTGGCATATCCACTGCTGGGGTTATATGGACCTATTTCTTTCCACATACCCTTTGGTGACCTGGGGTCTGGTAAGTTGATGCTAACAGCAGAAGCAATAGAAGTCCAAGGCACTAAAATATCCAGCAAGCAATACTGGGAGAACAGAAGTATTCAAGTACAGTAATTTATACAATTTTACATTCACATTTATTTATCTAATACAATGGAAATACAAAGGAAAAAGTTTAAAGTGTCTTAATAAGTAAAGGACAGAGCTAGCTTTTTTTTGTGTGTGTGAACCTTTTAAACTTTTCAAATTTTACTCTTAAAACTAATGTTGTCCAACAACATTTATATATCACAGTGTTTCCACATCAAAACTGATGGCAAAGTTACATGTCCTCAGGGAACATCATTGTTTCCCTAGTTGCTAATGCTGCAGTCAAAGCTGCTGATACCTTGCTTAAAGCATTAATGACCTATATAAGAAAGGGTTGCAACCCCAGTCCCCTGGTATTTTTCACTAGGTTGTAAAGGTTAAAAAGAAAGTGGGGGTAGGGATCAGAGTGGGAGAGAACCTTTTTATCTTAAGGTGTGCATTCTTGTGGGAGGAAGGAATTAGGGATTTGGGGCAAATGTAAAATTAAGCGCTCTATCCACTGACAGATACATAGGGGTTTAGCTTACACTGAGCTCTTGGGGAACTCTGGTAACAAGGCTCTCTTCTAGCCCTAGGCCTGACTGGTGGGTACAGAACAGGAAAGCAGTCTCGGGCAGCCCCTCTACCAGAAAACTGCTCTTTTCATCTTTTTGAACTCCTACAAATGGAGAGGGAGGGTGGTTCTCCATTCTAAGGGTTCAAAAATGGTATTAAAAACATTCCCTTCTGGCAAGAAATAACCAGTTAAATGCAGCACTAGTAGTTAGTATATAGGCTACTTCCCCAGCCCCCAGCATTCCATTTTGTGCCCCCAAATCTATTCAGTTAACATCTTCACTTCTGACTAAGTGGTCCGTAGGTTGGAACCTGGGGGATTACTGATGGACTTCTGCAAATTGCTGATGTTGAAATTCTGCAAGGAAGCAGTTCCTACAGGCTGAAACTGGCCAAGTGGCTGTGGTGCTGGGCCACCTGTTCCACTCCACTGCGTGCCAAATGGAGCAGCTGGAAAACCATACTGCTGTGGGGGACACATCGACTTGGTGAAGTGACCTAAAGAGGTAGCAGATGCTGCAGAGATGGGGGCTGAGCCACCCAGGTTTGAGGTCATGGAAATGCACAGCTGCCCAGGAGCAGAGAACTTCCTTGCCATTCCAGGGCCCTAAAAACAAGAAAGTAACAATGAGAATTTGATGTAGGTATAAAACCCACTCACAAAATGTGTGATACTGCAATACTATTCTAGAGCTGAGATGTTCTAATCTTAGCATTAGCAAAACATAACAAAGCCTCCTGCAATATTTATTGGCTCTACGCTTAACAAGGAGAAGTGAAAACTCAGTCTGAAGATGTGTGTCAGGTGTACACACATTAAAGAAAGTGATTGCTGCCTTGTTTTCCCAATGTTAGATAGAATCCACGGTCTGCTGAAGTGGTGATTGTAAGGATGGTGTGCCAGCCCTGGCAGTTCCTGACTCACCTGTGTGTTGGTAGTCTGGCAGGTTAGGAAAGTTAAGACTTACCTCGTAATTCATGTGTCCTTTGCTGCCTCTCCTGCCTGAAAGATTCATGGCGTCCCGGGCCCAGTTGTCTACCAACTTGTGCAGGTCATCTGTGAATGTGCCCTTCCTACTGGAAGTCATGGCAGGTGGCTGAGCCTGGGCAGCCTGGCTACTCACTGTTCCCCCAACGGTATTTGTGCTGCTGGTCCCTAGAATTGTAAACAACACAATTCTAGCATTAAAGGGGATGTGGGATATAACTCTGGGGAAAGGGGAAAATGTCACAGGATAATGAATGGCAAGCCACAGAATGGGGAGAATAATTGGGAAGCCATGCAGGATAGGAAGATTCCAAAGTTTTATTTATCCATTTGTTTTGGCATAACAGGTAACGAAAATGGTTTCTCTTCCATAGTTTGTAGATAAGGCTCAATAACTTAGGATGATGGCAGGCATGGGTAAGAGTTTCTTTCAAAGAAACCTGTAATAATACTGGGATTGTTTACTAGTACTCTATTCCCAGCACTATACCGAGGAGAGAGTGATATGGTCCACAAGACTGGCTGCTATGGAACTTTGTAGAAAGCAGGGCTAAAGAAGTACCATGCGCTGGGTAAGTTAAAGTAGTACAAATGCAGAGACCAGTGCTTGCTGTGGAAAGATGGGGTTCCCAGACCACGTGGATACTGTGGCATTCTTTTAACAAAAACAACGAATGCTCTGTTCAAAGCTATTTATCACCTGGAACCATAAATATAAATTTGTAAATACAAGGTGGAAGGAGTCAAGGCTTCAACTTCTCTCAGTGTCCCATGAGTAAAGAACAGAGATTCGGCAGTTGGGGAAGAGTGCCTGAATCTCTTAGGTCCAGGAAATTAGTTTTCTTGAGGACTTGGGTTTCATTGGTTCAAGGATTCTCATCCCTTCTCCCCACTCTTCCCAATGGAACAAGCATTCCTGGGTAGAAGCAACAGGAAAATGCAGCTGAGGCAGGGGTGCAGAGGGGAGAGGAGGCATGGAGGTTATGATGAAGGAATTCTATTTCTATGGTTTGATGAAAAAGAAAGGAGGAGTCTGTGTCCTGCCTGATTTCGGTTCAGCTGGAGGGCACACTGAAGGTTATTCGAAGAGGCAAGTTTTGGGGAAGAGGGAAAGAAGAGTCATGGTCTTATTTTTTTTTTTAACCCCCTCTTTATTAGCAGACTTCACATTTGCTACATAGTAAATAAAGGCTACTAAAGTAGTGAGTAGGCCCTACCATACTCAAGGAACCAGGGACTAAGTGCATGCGTTTTCCTTCTTTCAATGCCAAAGCAGCACACTAGAGCACAGCAGCACATCTGAAGCAACCCTACCTACTATTGCGCCCTTCAGTCCTGTTGGTGCCAAAGGCTATATCCATTTTACCCAAGGAGTGGCCCACCAGAGCATGTCTGTGCTAGAGGAAAGCTAACTCAGGGGAAGCTGCAGAGTGAGGATGCTCACATGCTTCTTCTGGTCACTGTGGCAAGACATGAATTACTGCAGTCACATGGTGTCTGCTAGGACTACAGGGGATCATTACTATACAAAGAATAAAAGTGGGGTAGATTCACCTCAGTACAGGAAACCAAGTGGGAGAATATAAAAGCACAGGAAACAGCCTTCCTTGAATAGCAAGTGTAGGACAAAGGTGCATGGGAAGGAAGCACAGGCCATGAGGATGGGCAGTCACAACAGTGAAGAAACCCAAAAAGCCAGCATGTAACATGCACGAGGACTAGCATCCTGCTGGATGACAGGCCAGATGATCAAAACAATAGAAACTTCCACAAGTGAGCAGAGCTGTCAATGCCAAATGAGAAGCCAAGTCAGGGTGAACACTGTTTATCCAGAGAGCTCATGCCAGAAGTCACACTTCTAGCCTGGTGCTAGTTTCTCTTGATGCTGTGAGGGCCCTTTAAAACCAAATGCCATTCACTTTAGTCTATATTCCTCAGTATTGGATTCATAAAATGAGGTTTACCCTATAAGGGAGAGTCACCCTACAGTTAATCGTTTTATTGTAGTTTCTGACTAATAGGCTTTCTGCAGAGTGTGGTAACTTTTGAGTCTCCCTGAAAGCTGAATAGAGGAGGACAGATTTTATTTCTCTAAATTCATGTTCTGAATTTCCTATCCCTACACTGCCAGGCTATAAGCCATTATGAGCCACACTCACTGGCAAAGATTGCCAAGCAGAGACTTTTCTTGTTAACTCCCTACATTCTTATAACCTGCTGGTATTAATTTCTTAGCATCTGCATTTTGTCTTAATAAGAAATGTGAAGGCTAAAAAGCCAAACTCTATAATCAAGTAGCATTCCTCTCCCCTATAGCTGAGCACCAACTTCTACTGAGATATAAAGGTTATGAGGACATGGCCCTCTGTGTACACCTAGATCACTGCTCAGTTTCCAGTATGGATGGGCAGGGGTGGGCACATGCTCACTGACTCAGAGACTCTCTTCTGTATAGAACCTAGGCTCTCTCCATCTCCCTCAGTCATATCCATGGATGCTACGGGTCCAAACAACTAACACAGTTGGACTTACATGAGAGAACTGACTATGAAGTGGTTTCTCAATCTGGAAGTAGTAGTAATTAAATATAGCAATTAAGCATAATAAAGAATATTATCACAAAAGGATGCAGGGATGGGTGAAAATTAGGAATCAGGAAGTTATGAGGCTTCATAGTTTAAAGAACTCATGGCTTTGCAGTCAGGATCAAAAGTAACAGAAAGAAGATAATTACTACAGAGCTGGTTGCAAGGACAGACTTTTTTCACCATCTTCCCTGAAGCACAAAGAGAGAGCAGTATGTTAAAGAAATATCAGTGAAATCTTTACAGACTCTCCAAACAGCACACAGAAGCCCAGCAAGAGAAAGCAGGAGGGGACAGATGAATGGGACCTGGTAGCCCTAGATGTAGAGACAAGTCTAGGGATAATTCTAACTGGCCGTGAGTGTAACACAACTGTCAGATGGACTCTGAAGCCTGGATGACAGGTGTTAAGTTTTTACAAATCATCTTTATTTCTAAAATGTAATGTGGTGTTAGGGTTCTGAAGGAGGGAGGAACAGGTCTTACTGCTTGAAATCCAAATACCCAAGCAGTACTTCCATTGACCTTGTCCCACTTCCTGTTTCTCCTGCTGGGTTGTTATAAAGCATTTAAATTAGCACCGTTGTTAGGTTTTAAGTTAATTTAAACTGCTTGTTGTATTTCCACATCCTAGACTCACTCACTCTCCCTCCCCCCCATATACCCTATTCCTTCCAAAAACAATTTTAAAAGTATGTGGAAAACAAGCAACCTTTAAATATAGAGAGCATTAAGCCAAGCCGTGCTTCCAAACTATTTTGACAAGATAGGATAATGTATCCAAAACAAATAAGGGCTCCTATCCTTCCAAGCACCTGTTTTCTTTCTATATATTTTTAAATATCTGCCTCCTAGGATTTGTCCAGCAGTTTTGTATGACATATCCTCATGCACCTTCAACACATATAGGTCTTAATTTATACTCAAAGGTAAGTGGTATGTTTTACCACGTCTAAACATTTTCAGATTAAATATTGCCTATACTTAGAGTATGCTATAAGACACAAAATTAATTCAAACGGTGCATATCTGCCTTCACAGAAAGAAGCTCTGGTTTGCCTTCTTTCTTTTCAGACATAGCAGGTTATGTATCAGAGGCCTGGGAAAACGTCATATTTTACTGCAAAATATCAACCTATGTTCTTCTAAATTTCTAGCTGGACATATAAATTAAATTCAAGTGTGCTACTAACATGCATAGTCCAAGCTAGTTTAATCAGGAAACATATTGGTAGGAGTATACCCAAATCATGCATGCTTGGAAACTACCCAGGGCAATGCCTTCCAGCCACTTTGTTTAAGAGTTCAGCCCTGGACCACTGACATGTTGTGGGAATGTGGTAAAAGAAGGCTGTAGGTAGAACCAATCCATGACTAACATGTCAGTGAGTGAAACAGCGGTTAAATCTAATACACAAAGGTATAAGAGAACAAAGCAGGGTGTAAATCTTCCCACCATGAAGAGGCCAAAGGCTCTCTGTGCCACACACTTAGAAACACTGATGGTTTTAGCACATGCATTGAAAAAGCATTTTAATAACCACACCAGAAGTTTGAGGCCGTAACTGATTGTTATCCAAACTAAAGAAGTTGAAATAGGTACTGATTTCATTCCTTAAAGGGAGAGGACAAGACAAGGTAACTTGCCCCTGGACTGTCACCTTCTTAGTTAAGATTTGTTTTTATTTCATGTGTATGGGTGTTCTGCCTGCATGTATAGCGGTGCACCACATGTGTGCAGTCTCCTGAGGCCAGAAGAGGGTGTTGGATACCCTGGAACTGGCATTACAGACAGTTGTGAGCCATCATGTAGGTGTTGGAAAGTGAATCTGCGTCCACAGAAAGAGCAGCTAGTGATCTTAACTGTTTAGCCATAGCTCCAGCCCCACATGTACCTTTTTTGGTTTGTGCTCTGATGTGTGTGGATACATGTGGACATCAGAGGACTCCCTCAGGTGTGGGTCTTTATGAGTCACGCACAGTGTTTTCTGAGAAAGGGTCTCTTATTGGTCTAGGGCTTGTTGACGTGGCTAAACTGATTTGCTCATGAGACCTGGGTTCCTTCTTTCTCCATCTTTTCTAGTACTAGGATTACAAAGACAAGACAACACGCCAGCTTTTTTTTTTTTTTTTTGGTTTTTCGAGACAGGGTTTCTATGTATTGTTTTGGAGGCTGTCCTGGAACTCACTCTGTAGACCAGGCTGGCCTTGAACTCAAGAGATCCGCCTGCCTCTGCCTCCCGAGTGCTGGGATTAAAGGCTTGTACCACCAATGCCTGGCAACATGCCAGCTTTTAATTCTAATGATGAATTCAGGCTCTAGTCTGCATGGCAAGAACTTTACTGAGGTATCTTTATGGCTTCCTGCACTTTATTTTAAAACAGAAAGTGAGGAAGTTCTATTAATAGTAAAATGACAAATTTCACTTGCAGGTATCTGGTCTGTAATAAATACACCAGGCAGTGGTGGCTTAAGTCTTTTACTCCAGCACTTGGGAGGTAGAAACAGGAGGATCTCTGTGAGTTTGAGACCAGCATGGTTTACAGAGTGAGTTCCAGGACAGTGAGGACTAGACAGAGAAATCCTGTTTTGAAAACAAACAAACAAACAAAAAAGAGAAGAAGAAATGCTTTGTAAGGTAACTACACTAATGTTCTTTGAACTACTTAATCTAATGGAGTTGGTAACAGAGGTGAAGAGATTTCTAGCATCTTTTATATTTGGGCTTAACTGAGAAGATAACCCATATTTAAAAGAATGGAAAACAGGGTGAACTTATACTTTCAGTCAGGATCACGCATCAGTGGTCAACATAATTCCTGTCATCTTTTTTTTTTTAATTTTAAGACAGGAACTTGTTACATAGTTAGTACATGCTGGCTTCAAACTTGCCATATCTTTGCTTCTCCCTCCACAGTATGGGGAATCATGGGCATGTATCACCACTCCTAATGACAGGCAGGGCAGTGAAACAGCACTGAGTATGAGTGTATTGCAGTTTTAATATAGAGTCTAATTACAGTCTTAATATATAGATCTAAAAATGGGCAATTTTACCTGGGAGTTATTTAGAAACATATAAAAACCCACTGCTGTCTCTGCGTCTTTTACTATAATTAACATGGGGACCCAAACTTCTGAGGGTAACAGTCAGCCAAGCCACCAAGTAGATGAAATATAAAAGACACAAATGAAAATGGACTGCGTGACAATCAGATCCGAAGCAGCAGAAAAACAAGGACAAGGAAGGAGTAAAGGTGTTACACACAAAGAGCCAAGCAGGGCGTACTCAGAAATCGGGTCCTCCTGCCACCAGGTTTGAATGTCACCTGCTCAGATGCACAGTTAAACTTCGCACAGCCTGTGAGAAGGGAAAAGGAAAGAACAGAGAAGAGACAACACAACTACAAGATGTTAGAGCTTGAGGCTGGAGTGGTGACACTGGATGGCATATGGAAGAGGGAGGTCTGCAGGGAAGTCCACCTGTTGTACGAGAACACACGCCAGGCCTCACATCTCATTGGCAGAAATGAAGCTTTTCTCAGTTGGAACAATGCTAACAACTTTATGTTGTTTCTTAGTAATCAAATACATTGGGGGGAAATGAATGGCTAATTGCTATATATTATGCTAGAGGCACTTAATTATCTGTAGGTCTGTTCCCTGATTCTTTTCTACCCAGCTACTCAATTCCTTTCAACTTACTTTGTTGACACTTTTTTTTTGAAACAGATTTCACTACTATAGTCCAGTTTGGCCTCAGCCTCTTGAGTATTAGAACTAAAGGCATGTGCTACAATGGCCAACTTTCCTTTCAATTCTAATTTTGTTCTTTTATTTTTAAATTTTATTTTATGTTTTGCTTGAAATTAAGTCTACACACCATGTACATGTTTGCCCTCAGAAGCCAGAAGAGAGCATCAGATCCCCTGGGATGACTGACTTCATGTGGTGCTTCAAATTGAACCTAAGTCCTCTGCAAGAGCAGCCAGTGCCTTTAATCACTGATCTCTCTAGGCCCTCCTTCCAATTCTCACTTAACTCTGAGTTTCTAAAAGCTCTCTGCAGCAGTAATGTTTTGAGCAACAAAACCAAAACTCTGTTTTTGAAAGTAGAGATGGATCAAGAATTTGATCTTAGGGTATTTCTCTCTTGTATTCCCTCCTACTTTCTGAAATTTCTTACTTTTTCTTAGTAAATACATGTTCACTATGCATTAAAAATAGATTTTAGAGCTAGTCATTTTAGTATGCTGCTATCATGCTCAGAAGTTTAAAAGCAGATTGGCTAAAAAAAAAAAAAAAAAGACATTAGTTTTTAAAAACTAGCAACTCCTTAGAATTTTGTCCACAAAATCTTGGTTTAGTATAAAAGGTTATGGTCTAAGTCCTAAATAAGTTATTCATATAGGCTGCAGGTGTAATGATTGCCCTTTGAAAAAAAGCCACTTCAGAGCTGGGTTTGATGACTTACATCTGTAATTCCAGCACTTGGGAGGCTGAAGCAAGAGGACTGCTTCAAGGTTAGCCTAAGCTCCACAGTGAGTTCCAGACCAGTCCAGTATCGACTACAAAATGAGGTGGTGTCTAAACAACAACTAACAACCCAAACAAGAAGCTATTTTACTAGATGGCTGGAAGCCAAGGAGGCCAGTGATTTCCTGCTCAGCCCAATGACTAATCACTGTTTAATAATCCAGTCTCTTTCTATTCAGCTGATTAGTTATTTGCCTTGCTTCTGTCCCAAGTTTGGCAGTATTTCTATTTTAATGTCTCTAGAAGATGGTGGTCACTTTGAATTCTTACCTTGACCTGGAGCAGAAAGGCTTGGTACTGAAATGGCACCATCACTGGTAAAGGCTGAATAGAGGTTGTCACTGGAAGGAGATGGTTTAAGAGGCTGTAACAGCTGGTTGTGCCCAGTCTCTGGGGTGTTGCCTGGGGGGTGGAGGGTCTGCTGGGGGTGTAAGACTGAAGTTCCACTCTGACCAGACAGGTTACCTGCTGAAAAATAAAGAGGCTTGAAGAAACATGGAGAAGGGGCTGATGATGTATTTCAATTCTCTTAGTATTCATGAAATACTGGATTTGATACAAGGTATGGTGGTGTATGTCTGTAATAATTCCAGCACTTGGGAAGTTAGAAAGAATGACCAGGAATTCAAGGCAATCCTTGACTAAATAGTGAGTTTGAAGTCAGTCTGGAATACCAGAGACCATATCTTCAATCAATCACTTAAACAAAAAGAATAAGAAAAAAATATAACACATATACTTTTCCTAATATATTTATTGTTTCTGATTCCTATTCATCCTGAGTGGCAAATTTAACAAAATAAAAACATATAGATTGACAGACAAAGCCTTATTAACATATGAATGTAAGTGAAAAACAATAAGGTATTTATAGACATAGGTTTATTTATATGAATTGCCCCTGAAGAATGATAGTAGAGCTCACTAGCTTGAGCAGAATGAAGTGTAAATGAGAACATGAAAAAGATATGAAGATTCCATTTCTATTTCCACAGTTACTGTTTTCTGCCAATTAGAAAGATGGTGATTAGTTGTTAGTTTCTGTTTAGATTCTCTTATAAACATGTACCACGTAAGATATATAAAAAGGGGCTAGAGAGATAGATCAGTGGCTAAAAGGACTCTTAGAACCCACATGACAGCTTACAATTGTTTGTGATTTCATTTCCAAAGGATTCAACACCCTCTTCTGACCTCCTCAGGCACTGCACACAAGTGGTATGCAGACATACATACGGGTAAAACACTCATACACATAAAGTAAAGCTTAAGAAAAAGATAAGAAAGTGTTGAATAAAGAAGACAGATAACCACAGCTAAACACTGAACGGAACTCCTGGAACCCAGTGACAGAGATGGAGGAGTGATGAGCAAAGGGGTCAAGTTCGTGCTTGTGAAACCCACAAATACAGCTGACCGTACAAGGGGGAGCTCTTGAAACCCACTTAGCGTGGAGCTTTCAGTTACATTAATTGACCATAATTTCTTGATTTCCAAGACACTAGTTAAATAGAGTATACGAAAAAATTATGTCAAAACCAGAGTCTGAGTCTGAATTAGCTAGTTTCCCATACAGACATCTCTATGAATGAGTTACCTGCACTGGTCAGTGCTCAAGAAAAGGTTCCTAAACAATCAGAGAGCTGGTAAGAAATTTGTAAATGCTTGCTTTCCATAATTCAACTAGATCTGAAGAACAAATAAAAAAAAAATCAATCTAGGTTTTAACCCTCTTTTACTTTCAAACCAATTACTTTTATGTACTACATAATTTCAACAAGGGCAAAAAATTTCAATCCTGTTAAAATTTGAGAAGTTATTACTATCTTTGATCAATTTTTTTTCTTTTTGGTTTTTTGAGACAGGGTTTCTCTGTGTAGCTTTGTAGACCAGGCTGGCCTTGAACTCACAGAGATCTGCCTGCCTCTGCCTCCCGAGTGCTGGGATTAAAGGCGTGCGCTACCACCGCCTGGCAAGAATTATCAATTTTTTTTAATCCTAAAATGCAAAGCTTCATTTCATTAGGGTTACATTAAGTTTAGCTGCAATTATGGTTAATTCAGTCACTTAAAGAAAGACTCTGAAGCTTCCTAAGCAGAGAATAATCTTTGTCTTCTAAATGCCCAAGAGTCTGATCAAATGTTGAGTCATTAATAGACAGACCTAAATGTGCGTCCCAAAGAATAACCATAACTGAAGTTACCAGTAGATAGACAGTAACACTGACTACATTAAAAAGAAAGCCTACTTCTATAGAGTCAAAAGAGGTTCAAAGAAGAGCCAAAGAAGCAGGAATATTGGAAAGCCAAACGCCTTTGGTAGGAGACAGAAACACAAGATGGAAGACTTGACTTGGCCTAGGGCTTTTTACCTGAAAGCTGTGGGCTTTTATTTCCCAATGAGCTGCTTCGACTAGATTTACTGCCTTTGCTTTTAGTAGGTCTCCGCCTTCTCCCTGACAAAGGAGCAGCTGGGGGAATAATGACAGCAGGGGGAACCTTGCCCAGTTTGGTATACAAAGATTCAATTTCATGTTTCTGGCGACTCTGCAGGTCCTGAATCTCTTTAAGATGTCTATAAAAGAACCAAATATAGATAAAAATATAACCACTGTTGTTCAAGTAAGAGTTAAAGCGTATTCCTAAATCTGCATTCAAGCATTTATGTAGCTATGAACCCCTTTCCTGAATGTGATATGAGATCCTGTTTTGACAATTTTGCTGTTCTCTAGACACAAGACACATTCCTGTAAGCTCCTAGCCTAGATAACAGCATGTGAAGAGGAAAAAAAGATCTGAGGCCATACACAGGGTACAAAAACTTGCTACTGTAATCAGGGTGATAATTAACCAAACTATAAACATAATTATACATTGTAGGGCTATTATTAGATACATACTATAGACTTACAAACAACCAAGAGTGCTTAGTTATTAACAAAGCTGAAGAGATGATTTAGCCCTTAAGAGGACTTTCTCCTCTTGTAGAAAACCACAATTCAGTTGCCAGCACCCACATCACAGCTAGCAACCATCTGTATATAACTCCAGTTTCAGAGAATGATACTGTTTTCTGCTTTCCAGGAATACACATGGTGCACATACATACATGCAGGCAAAACACTCATACACATAAACAAACATCTTTTTAAAGGTGCCATTAACAAAAATAATGTAATAAAAGTGCTGAGGAAACCCCAAAACTACACATGCCATTGGTGCTGATGAGTACAGGACAACCCAATGAATGATGAATCAGATAATTTTAGCTTTTATGTACCACTTTGTTTAAAAGGAATGTGAGATCACCAGTCTTAAGATACAGTATCTGCCACTACTTTACAGGAAAAAAATTACTTACTTTTCTCTTAGTCGTCGAAGTTCTAACCTTAAGTCTTCATCTTCAATGTCTGACTCATTGTCACTACTCATGTAAGAGGAGTTGAATGAATTACTAAGGCTCTGACTTAGATTCTGGATGGGAAGGCTCTTTGAACACAAGTGAGGGGGAGAGTGCGGACTACCTGAGCCATCCTCTGCACCCCTACTGAGAAAGGCAGCCTCCAGGTCAGAAGAGGGCCCATTCAGATGGGAAGGCTCTGTCAGCTCAGGCTTCTCCTTCTTTGGTATCACAGCAGGACTAACAGTTTGTTCTGAATCTCTGAGAGGAGGAGAGGTCACTGGTCCCTCTTTTTTGAGCTCTGTGACCTTGTCCTCAGTTCTTGAAACAGAGAAACGACCCACTTTGTTTGCGGTAGTTGTCACCTGAAAACGTCCAACCTTGGTAGGCTGGCCAGTTTCTGACTTTGCTTCTGGGGTAGATGTTTTGTGGCTGCTGTCTGGCACATCTAAGGAGATGTCAGGGGTAGTTATTCCATTAGGCTCTGGCTTTACCAGGGTACTCTCTGGACTACTACTTGAAAGAACTGATGACTCTGATGTGCTAGATTCAAAATGAACCGACTTTGTATCTTCTGACCTATTTTTACGCTCTTTCTGAGCATCATCCATTGTAACTGAAACCTGATGGAAAAAAGAGAATGAAGTACAATTAAAAATGATGTCCTTTGCAGGGGTAGTGGAAAACAACTTTAATCCTGGCACTGCAGAGGTAGAGGCAGACAGATCTCAGTAAGTTCGAGGCCAGTGTGGTCTATATAGCAGGTTCCAAGCCAGCCAAGGCTATATAATAGAGAGGGGAGACAGGAGAAAGGGGAGCTTTCAGAATGTAGAGATAAGCCACTAAGTTACACACACACACACCTCTTAGCCATGGAGCTCTGTGAGTTCATGGCCACCCTGGGCTATATGAGAGTGAAATAAGTATAAAAGAGAATCAGAGTTCATGCTTTTAATCCCAGCACTAAGAAAATATAAGGCAGAATCTCAGTGCAGTCTCAGAGAGCAGTCTGAGGTGTTTTAGTGGAGAGCATTACAGTCTGCAGTCACTCTGAGGGCAGGATCAACCCCCTCTGGTCTTATCCACGATAGTGGTAAGAACTCCCTAGACTGGCTGTTTTGCTTTTCTGATCTTCAGCTTTAACACCAATATCTGCCTCTGGGTTTTTATTATTTGTGCTATATGCCTCAAGTTCCTAAATGAGTACCTGGGAACACAGCCCATGCCACCAGGTTTAGCTAATAATTTTATTATATAACCTGCCCACAAAAGAGGGAATCAAAGCAAAGAAAATGATCATCTTACCTGAAATCGCCCCATCTTAACAACACCAGCTCCTGAACTAGTTGCTAGGACATGGCCTTCAGTGCCTTGAGAAAAAGAAACAAGTAGCAGGAAGACAGAAGCAAATTAATATCTCTTTTCAGTTTCTTTACAATTTCACCAGAATTATGATGTCAAAGATTCCTTCCCCGCCATAAACTTGATCTTTTTTGGGTCAAGTCTCCCAAGTGTTGGAATTACAGGTTGCAAAACAGCACTTTTATCCATTGAGTCACCTCACCAGGCAAGATCAGTTTTTAATCTTAAAAAACAAAACAAAATCTCTCTCTCTCACACACTTACTTATTTTGTGTGTGTATATGTGTGCACACCTGTGTGCCATGGAATGTTTGTGGGGTCAGGATGTCAATTTGTGGCAACTGGTTCTTTCTTCTCACCTGGTGAGTCTTGAAGCTCAAACTCAAGTTGACAGGCTTGGCAGCATGAGTTACTACCTGCCAAACCACCACACTGGCCTTTCTTCATATTTTCAAAGTTGCCTAAGAAATAGTCTCTTATAGATCTGTGGACTACAACTTTGACAGATATTACTAAACTGACTGCCAGAGGCTTTTTCCAAGGAGGCTGAGAAATGCTATTGCTTATAGTTTTGTTTTTAAATATTTCATATTGCATGCCTTTAATCCCAGCATTCATGAGGTAGAGGCAGCATGTGGATCTCTGTGAGTTTGAGGCCAGCGTGGTCTACAAAGTGAATTCCAGGACAGCCAGAGCTACACAGAGACAAACAAACAAAAATACATTTTCTTACTGGGTTAAAAAGATTTTACATGCCTCTGAGTTTCTCTGAGACAAGGTCTGACACTGTAGCCCATACTGGCTTGCAATTCATGGCAATTCTCCTGCCTTAGTTTTCTGAGTTCTGGGATTACACCTAACTCCTGCATTCCTTTTAATTTGGTGCTCTCTCTGACATCCCCAAGTGATGTAGATTGAACCTAGCGATTTGTGCCTGTAAGGTTTCATTCCCAGCCCAGGGGTAAACATCAATTTTTACTGTATATATTCAAGGTATCTAATATATATTGGAAATCTACTTTACTCTGTTCATTTCTAGACTTTCTAATCTGTTTTAGATTTCTACTGTTTTTAATGAGCCAATTCAGAATGTGATGCCTAGAAAATAAAAATAAAAATGTCCAAACTGATACATTAGTATTTACTTAATTAAAACATTTTTTGCATGTGTTTTGAGACAGGGTTTCTGTCTTTACCTCCTGAGTGCTGGTATTAAAGGTTTGTGCCACCACCACCTATTAGTATCTTACATTTTTAATCTATGAATAAATGTATGTTTGGGCTTTACCAGCTAAACTATATTTCTTCTACACAGTGTTACAAATGTTGATAAGTTACCTGTAAATTGACTACCCTTCCTTCTATTTTTCCCTTTTGAGACAGTCTAGCTTTATAGCCAGGCTTACTTTAACTATGTTGCTCAGTTTGGCCTCCCACTCAAAAATTATCCTGCTCCTGCATACTGAGTGCTGGGGGTACAGAGGTACACCTGGGTTTGAAAATCACTTCTTATATTATACTTTCATTTTAAAATTAATCTCTTATAGCAAGGTTCTTGCCTAGCTAATAACATGATTTTATGCTATAAAAACACACAATACTTATTATAATTACCTCTTTATCTTAATAATCATTTAAGACCCATTAATCAACTAGTATTTCCTGCTTTAGATATTAGATAACTATTTCCTCCTCAGTCATGAAACCACACAAATATTATATATAACAATCTAAAGTGTACAACATTCTTGAAAATGTATCGTTTAAATAGTAAACTATATTATCAAGTACAGGTAGAACTAGGCTTAATAAAACAAAAGGAGGAGTCTCACCATCTTTTTGAAGCTGTGATCTTGCTGCTTCTGTAACTGCTGTTGAAGCCATCATGGACACAGGCTGCAAAACACATACAGATACCACAGAATCAACTTTTGCCTTGTAATTTTTTTTTTTCTGGTCTATGTAAAATGGCAGAAAGATAGTATATATGAAGAGATACTTGTATATATGAAGAGATACTTTTGTTTAATGTAGTATTTTTTTGTTTTGTTTTTCTTTTACAACACAAAGGTCTGATATAGAGAGGCAGCTTTTAGGAAGAAACATTGAATCTTAACTCTTATTGCTTTCTTATGTTTATACACAGGATTCAAAAAAGGTCAGCAGAAGCCAGAAAAGGGCACTGGGTTCCCTGAAGGTTGAGTTACATGCCATTGTGAGGGGCTAGGAACTGAACTCTGGTCTTCTCCAAGAGCAGCAAGTGTATTCAACTGCTGAGCCATCTCTTCAGTCCCTCTAACAAGACAGTTAAATAGTATAGTTTACACATTTACTGGAATATGTGTAGGTTTCTTGAAACAGTTTCAAATTCCTGGAATTTGCTTTGTTCATCAGGCTAGCCTCGAACTCAGGGATCCCCTGTCTCTCCTCCAAAGGGCTCAGATTAAAGCCTGCACTACCATCACCTGGCTAGAAGTAGTTTTAGTCAAAATATTATTCCAGGGGTTTAACCACTTCTAAAGCACAAAATACAAAATTCATAAGATTGATCTGCAATATAATCTACCTAGAGGTTAGATTAAGGGGTCAGAGTTAATCTTTCATTAATCTGTGCCATTTCTGTTGACAATGACTGAATAGGAATTAAGGTATTAATCATCTAGATTATAATTTGTGCTCTAAAAAACACTTTGAAGAGATTTTAATCAAGGCTTTAAAAACTTACACCAACTGTAGATGTCACTGTAATAGTTTCTGGACTAAGTGTTCTTCTCAATTGAGCATCAAGATCTTCTAGGGGTTGCTGGGACTAAACAAAAACAGTTACAGAATTTTAAGTTGTTTGGCAGCTTCAGTCACTATATATAGCTAATTTATATAGAATATATTATTTTATGCTTTAGATCACAACACAGTATTTGTAGTAATGCTACATATGATGATCAGGTTGTCAGTCTATCGGTCCTTAGGGATTTATGCTTTTGTAGATAGCTTCAAATATCATCTTTCTCATCTTCTATGTTTAATGTTAGACAGTTTGCTGTCTTCTATTTAAGAAAGGTGCTTCAGAATCTATTGTTTGGATTATTTCCCACACTCATTTTCTTTCTTTTTTTAAAAACATGTCTTTTGCTGGGTAGTTACAGTAATCAACTCTGGCTTAGTTTCTGGAGTACTTTTACTGCCACGTCTGGCTCTTTCTCAGTTTTATACATCTTTCTGGGAACTGCTCTTTGAATAAGAGCATTAACACATCCAGTCATTATCAAGGGATATTCTATTCTTCGGATTTTAAGATATGTACTTGCTTTTTTCATTAATGGAAGTAAGGAGGTACTATGCTTCCCTAGTGTACAACTCAAGTATCTTCTATCTTTGACATAGGCTATATGAAGGCTCTTATCCACTTTACATATTTCTCATTCCACTTTATCTTCCCTTAGGAATTTGGATGCTGAGTTATATGTCTTGCTATGTGTTTTCTAAGTTGGTCTCAAATTCTTGGGTTCAAGTGATGGTGCCAGGCTTCTGAATACATGTTTCAAATGAGAAACAGGCTAAAAAACACATTCCCAGTTTATAGGCTTTTGCATTATACATCCTTTCCTCTTGAAATTTTATGTCTGGGTTGGAGTTAATATTTTTTGGAAAGTTCCTTACCCTATCATGTTCTATTGAAAATAAGGAACAAAGAAGTAGGTATAAATTCATACTGGGCTTCTAATATAAACAATGTCATACTTTTCTGATAAAATAAATAAATATTTCAAATTTACTTGCTGTCTCTTATCAGAAGCTTTTTCATTTTTACAATGGATTCAGAACTAGTGCTTTCTTGATGAGAATGCAATTAAGAGTATTGTTAACAGAGCAGTGGGGAAAGTAACTGAAATATCATGGGTAAGTATGACTATACTGCTTATCCATTACTTCATTATTCTACCAAACCCGGCTCATGATTCCTTTCTATAAACAGAGTGAACACAGAATTCTAAGGAAAAGTGAAGAAAACTCTCAGGGTGGGGTGGAGGGGTTTCAGAGATTTAAAGAATGCTCATTTATGGATTTCTTCTAATTCAGAACTCCCAGATAAATTTTGACTACATACAGCTTAGAAGCTTTACCTTACTTCTCCCCCTTCCAAATTGTCATTTATTTGTGTGTGTGTGTGGGGGGGGGGGGAGCTTATACACACGTTCGTATAAAAGCTTGAGGCTGACATCAAGTGTCTTCTTTGACTGCTTTCTACCTGACATATTGAGGCAGTGGAGAATTTATACAAATTCTGTGAAGGAAAGCAGGGGCACAGAAAATTATCTGTCAAGTTAGGCGCACCTGAGTTAGAGAAGGTCCAGGAAAAAGTGTCAGCTGCTCACAGGGTAGAGTACCAGATGGAAGTTCAGTACCCACTGGAGGCATCTACAATAAAGAAGGAAAATTCAAATCCATGAGACACCATGGTAAAGTTACGTACTAAAAATGAAAATCACTAATTTGAATGCAGAAGAATGAAACTAAAATGTGTCTAGTTATGATATACTTCTATCATTTAAGTTATATTCTGCAGTCTATCTTAAAGGATATCATAAAGATACTATAATGAGAGTTACGACAAAATAGCTGAAAAATAAATTGTAAAACACAATAAAAAGGAAAAAGAACAAATTCTTTATGTTGATAATAGGTTAAGTCAGGGGCTGGATAGATGGCTCAGCAGTTAAGAGCACTGGGTGATCTTGTAGAGGCCCTAAGCTTGGTTCCCCACATCCACATGGTGACTCACAACTCCAGTTCTAGGGAATCTGATGCCCTCATCTGACCTTGGTGGGCACCAGACACCAAGTGCCACACAGAGACACACAAAGGCAAAACATTTATATACATTAAAATAAACCTTAAAAAGAAAAAGGAGGCACATCAAATTTGTAAAGCCACCATTTAAGAAAAGCAAGACTTTTCAAAGAAAACAAGCAGGCTTAGAAATAAGCTAGGGTTAAGACTGGCAATAAAAGGCATAAAAATGTATTACTGTCACATAATGCTTTGTCAATATAAAAATTACACAGATGCTCCCTGACTTAAAATGGCAAGATCAAGACTTTTCAATTACAATAGTGTAAAGTCAATATATATTCAGTAAAAACTGTACATTGAATTTTTTGGTTTTGAGACAAGATCTTGTGATGTATGTCATAGAGGCTTGGGTGATCCTATTGCCTCAGTTTCCACAGTGTTAGGATTATAGGCATGTACCAATATATCCAGTCAACTTGTGGAAGGATTGCTGGTATACCACCACATTTAGTCAATTTTTGGAAGGTTAGGGTCCTGCTATATTGAGCAGGTTAGTCTCAAGTGATTTTCCCACTTCAAACTCTTGAGTAAAAGAGACTACATACCACCAGGTAAATTTCTAATTCTGATCTATTTCCAAGATAGCAAAATATGGTATTATATTCCCTTACAATGCTAGACAGCAGCAATGAGCTATAGCTGTCAGCCATCCAAGTTATTACAAGAGTTAAGAAGTGAATTTCTACTGTTTTGTATTTCTTGCTAAGCTACAACATTAGGATAGGGGTAAAATATTTTCCATTTAGAATTTATAGGGATATATCTGCATTACTCTACTGTAAAAAGAATTCTACCATCAGTAAGCAATGCAGAAAGAATACAGAAATATAATACAAAAGCAATCATTCAGTCTTGTGACTTTTGGAGCAGAAAGAAAGAGGCTGAAGATAGTAGAATGAGAGGAAATCTACAACAGCAGAACTAAATACATTCTTGTTCCCTTTTAGGATACTGAATTCTTTAACATATATCAAGTCAGTAAAAATATTTTTGTTAAAGAATTATATTTTTTTAAACGATTTATTTATTTATCACATATACAGTGTTCTGCCTACAGGCCAGAAGGCACCAGATTTAATTGTACATGGTTGTGAGCCACCATGTGGTTGCTTGGAATTGAACTCAGGACCCCTGGAAGAGCATTCAGTGCTCTTAACCTCTGAGCCATCTCTCCAGCCTGAATTATTATATTGTTAAACTATGCATATATGTGTATGTCCATGTGGAGGTATATGAGTACTCTGAATGAAGGTGCCTGCAGAGGTCAGAATAGATCCCCTGGTGCTGGAATTCTAGGTGGTTGTTAGCCACCTACACCAGGGTTCACTGGTCCTCTGAAAGAGCAATGTGTGCTCTTAAATGCTGAACCATCTTTCCAGCCCCACTTTTTTTTTTTTTTTTTGGACAAAGTCTCACTCTATAGTCAAGTTTGGCTTGGAACTCATTATAGCATCCAGGCTCTCCTGAAACTTGTGGTAATTCTTCTACCACTGTCTTCAAGTGCTGGGGTAACAGACACAAGGCATTAAGATCCAGCAGAAATACTTGTATTTTACCTGATGATTATACATTCTAAGAAAATTGTTCAATATAACCTAAAAATCCAGCCACATTTCAAACAAAGAGAAAATTCTTGTGTTTACTTTTATCCTAAAACTGCTATCACTTTAAGACTGAGTGACCAGTTTATATACCAGGCACCTTTATGACTATACTTTTTTTAAAAAAAAGATTTTTATTTATTATGTATACAGTGTTCTGCCTGCAGCATATATTCCTACAGGTCAGAAGAGGGAACTAGATCTCATTACAGATGGTTGTGAGCCACCATGTGGTCACTGGTAATTGAACTCAGGATCCCTGGAAGAGCAGCAAGTGCTCTTAACCTCAGAGCCATCTCTCCAGCCCTATGACTACATTTTAACTCATAAACGACTACATCTTTACTCAGCTGAAAACGTGTAATTACTGAGGGAGGGAGGAAGGAAGAGAGGGAGGGGAAGGAGGAGGAGGAATAATCACATTTATTGTCATCTTATAATTAATCTTACCACAGTCTTAGCTAAAGATGGCTTTGGGGGAGTTGTTCCGGATTTTGCTCCTGTTGCAGTGCTGAGTGTTGGGGCTGAAGCATGTGTGCCTGGAGTAGAAACTTGCCCAGGTGTTCCCACTGGCATAACTGGCAAGCCAGTTGCTCCTATTGGTAAATTGGTTGGTGGCAAGCAAGTACTTGTAGTGGAAGTCATGAGTTTGCTTGGTGCTATAGCAGTGGTGGGAATGCCTGGTGTGACAGTGGTCTCTACTACTAGAGGTGTCTCTAGTGAGACAGAAGTATGCTGAGCTCCAGATGAGCTGTGTTCACTAAAGAGAGACCTCAGTTTTTCCTCCAGAGTTTTTATGTCATCGATCCCAGGAGCTTTGGATTGGGTATCAGCATCCATTTCTAGACAGTGAGTGTGAGGCTGGTTGGGAAGCAAAGCTGGTTGAGGCTGACTATGAATGAGTGTTTGCTGTACAGCAGGCACATTAGCAACAGGTTGTACCAAGGGTGGCATACTAGGTACTTGGGGTAATAAAGGTGTAGAAGTGAGTCCAGCTGGCTGGGGAAGGACAGGTGTAGAGGCTACAGCAGATGAGATGAGCAAAGGATGCACTATACCAGGCTGAGAAACAGAACTAGACACTGCTGTTCCAGAGGAAGAAGAGGAGGATGGTGCACAAAAGGATACAGCTAATCCTGTTGTACTACTGTGAGATGTCTTGTCTAGTGAGTGTGCACTGACCACCACTGTTTCAGCTAAAGTGGGAGCAGAGGTGCTGCTACTAAGAGGAAGGGATGGTTGTGAGGCTGTGTCTAGGAATGGAGTGCTGGTAGAGACTGATGTCACTATGGCTACCCCAGCAGTACTGCCTGCTATCTGTTGCAACAACACAGCTGGAGGCTTAGCATTTGGGGCAGCCACACTACCCACTGTAGTAGCTGAAGTTGTGGAAAATGTTCCAGAAGGAAAACTGCCTGTACTAGAAACAATGCTCCCAGACGTGGGAGCCTGACCTGGCTGGGATGTTGTAGACACTGCGACAATTGCAGGTATTGTCGAACTAGAAATCACACTGGCAAGTGTTGGTGATTCAGACACAGATAATGTGGTAAGACCACTTGAAGTTATCACACCTGTGCTGGTGGTAACTCCAGCAATGCCTTTTTCAGTGGGCAATGTAGCCTCAGACTGCATTACTGATGTGGAAATGTCATTAAGAGGACTGCTTGTTATAGGGACTGATACTGATGGTGAAGATGCTGCTATAGTTGGACCAGCCAAGAAAGGAGAAAATGTTGGTCCTGTGTGATTGAAATTTGGAGGTGCTGTATTGGGTCCTTCAGTCATCTGGACATGTTTGAGTTGAGAAAAAGCCTGCTGGAGACTAAGGGATGAAGCAGAGTGAGATAAGTTCATTCCAGGACCCTGAGATGTCGAGGCAGCAACTAGAAAGGAAAACAAAAATTAAAGAAATCAATACATTTTAAAAGCAAGGATTCAGAGAGTCTTTGAGGAACCATTATTAGATTATCAACAATGCTACACATCAGTAAGACTTATAATATCTCCCAAGGAAATGACATGCTCTAAGTAAAGTTAAGTAGTAGTTTGTCCAAGGCAGCTTATGAAGACATAGTCCTTGAAAATAAAATTCATCACCAAATACAGAAATGAATATACCACTGTGTATGTTCTACTTAGCATACCTGTCTTTTATCTACTATTTATTTGGTTTTTCATAACAGCTCAGCCTTTATTGGAACTTGTTCTGCAAACCAGGCTGGCCCTGAATCCAACTGATATGCCTGCCTCTGCCTCCGTAGTGCTGCGATTAAATGAATGTGCCACCATGTCTAGCAGGCTCTTTTTTTTTTGGAGACAGGGTCTCACATAACCACTCAGGCTGACCTCAAACTCCTGATCATCTTTTCTATCTCCTGAACAATGTGATCATATGTTGGGGGAAGTCCTGTGTATATGTCAATAAAGTACTGTTGAGCCTATAGAAAACCTAGATAGGAGGGACTAGGAGTCCAGGAGGATTCTGGGAAGGAGACACACAAGAGAGTTCGAGATGTAGCCGCATGGGGTAGGAAGCCAGGAACTATTCTCCGGTAAGAATCATACTTAGATTAACAATTATAGGGTAATTACTTAATGCAGAGCTAGCCAGTAAGGGACAAACAAGGCCAACAGCTTCATAATGAATATAGCCTCCTGTGTGTTTATTTGGGACTGATGCGGTTCTAGAACCAGGCTGGCGCGGCAGAGCCCAGGCGACTGGCGGGGGGGATAAACCAAAGCGGCTAGCAAAGAAAAAGCTTCTCGTAACAGAATGGTGATCAGGAGTGGGATTGAATTTCCACGCAGAATGACAAAAGCTTTAAAGGAATTTTAGAAACAGAAGAACGGAGAGAAGCACAGATTTTTGGTAGCAGCATTTTTCTCAGGTGTGCTCTGTTTTGCTAGCGACAAGCCGAGATTCACGTGGCTCCCTTACTGGAGTCTTCCTGACTCGGCATAAAAAGAAAAAAAAAAAAACCAACAAGTTTGTTTTAAGAGATTCTGCTAACGATTGAAAGGTGCGTACATACAGCTGGAAGTGGCAGCTTTTGCTGGATGTCAGCATGGACTGAGGCGGTAAGCTGAAATCACGCTTACGCCCGCCATCTTGAAACGGCAGTTTAAAACAGCCGCGGTTTTAACAGATAAGACACGTGGCCAGAAAAACATAAAGATTTACAGTAAAGTCAGACTTGGATGAAGAAAACCTCTAAAGGTTTACAGTGTGTTTAAAAATATACGTGAGATTGAGAGAGAAAATGAAACGGCAAAGTGGTAAATAAATACAAAAGCCGGCGTTGTGGTGGCGCACGCTGGTAGGATTTACTCCAGAGGCAGAGGCAGAGGCAGGCAGATTTCCAAAGAGAAATCCTGTCTCAAAGAAAAATAAATAAAAGTGAAATAAATAAAGTAATGATAAATAAATAAATAAGCCATGTAAAGATGGAAAATACACAGAGAGTCTGGATACTGTATGCTATTATGTTTTTCAGTTTTTTGATTGCTAAGGAAGGAACAGCTGCTAAAGTACACTTGATTATAAATGCTGCTGAATTAATCCAACTTCTATCTTTTGAAAATGCCTTGACTTCAAAATTTAAGTATAAGGATATGTTACTTGGAAAAGGAGTTTTCATTTATGTTTCTACAGAAAATGAAAAGCTGAGAATTCCTTCCAGGCTTCTGTGGTTTGACCAACCAAGACCCCCGGAAGCAGTGGACCAGGGGTTCCAACAATTGAGCCAGCTAAGATGATGGAGCTTTACAGACCCCGAAAATACGGACTTATACAGGTTTCTGAGTTTTGTCATGATCCCCATGGATAAACAGCGCCCCCTTCCAGCAGGAAGCAGTTTGGAATGAACGACGTCCCAATTCCCATCTTGTTTATAAATCTTTTTTAAATGGGATTGTTTATAATTGGCTAAGGATCACAGCCAATCTTTTTAATGGTAAAAAGGGGAATTATGGTATGGGTATTTTTCATTTATTAAGACAAAATCAAGGTCAATTTTGTGATGCTTATATTTCTCCTCTTGATTAAGTATTGTGCTTATACTGATCTTTTAAAACGTAATGCATAATTGAATACAGGCTATAGATAGTTACTTATAAGGTCAGATCTTATTGTTAGGAAAGTTAGGTTTTCTAGATATATAGAGATGTATTTGAGATAGATATACAGTCTTCAAATCTTTCAAAGACCTTCAGAAAATGGCATTTTAAATGGTTTAGGGTTTTTCTTGACAATGAGAAATGTCTGCTCCTGGCAGCACCAATTATGTCTGAGAGGAAGATGGGCATCGAAGAAACTCGTTATGGAGTTTGCTTTCAACGTGGCAAGATTAGCCATTTGGGCAAGAAACTCCTCTTGCCTAGACTGTTTGACTGCTGTTATATAATCTGGACATGCAGGACCCACAGGAAAGTGACTACTGAACTCAGTCTTACAGGGTTCCTGCTTGATGAAGAGTCTACGAGACTTTCTGCAGGACAAAGAAAAATGACTGACAGACTGCCAACGCAGATGGACAGCGTGAAATTTCCTGCTTTGCTGAGAAGTTTTCCAGACACATTGTGGCCTATGGGCTGAAGATGGATGCCCCAATGTTACAGAGGAACTTCGGGTGACTGTCCAGGCAGTAAGATATCTCTGTCAATCCTAGTGTTTATATATTATCCTTCTGTGGTCTTTGATGGAGTTGAAGACAGATAGTTATAGTTATAGTTTTCCTTAGTTATGATAAAAGATAAGCTACATATAGGACTTTGGACTCACAAGGATGGGATGGATGATATTTTCTTTAGATCTTGCTAAATGTTGATAGACAAAATATTACAACTGTATTCTTACTTGATAACTGTTCTGTTATATATGATTTGACTATGTCAAAGTTAAGACCTTTCTTTTTGTTTAAACAGAAAAGAGGAGATGTTGGGGGAAGTCCTGTGTATATGTCAATAAAGTACTGTTGAGCCTATAGAAAACCTAGATAGGAGGGACTAGGAGTCCAGGAGGATTCTGGGAAGGAGACACACAAGAGAGTTCGAGATGTAGCCGCATGGGGTAGGAAGCCAGGAACTATTCTCCGGTAAGAATCATACTTAGATTAACAATTATAGGGTAATTACTTAATGCAGAGCTAGCCAGTAAGGGACAAACAAGGCCAACAGCTTCATAATGAATATAGCCTCCTGTGTGTTTATTTGGGACTGATGCGGTTCTAGAACCAGGCTGGCGCGGCAGAGCCCAGGCGACTGGCGGGGGGATAAACCAAAGCGGCTAGCAAAGAAAAAGCTTCTCGTAACAATCATATGCATGTGCCCCAGCCAACTACATTATTTTATTTCAATGCTCTCTATTTTAATCTATTTCCTATTTCCATGTTACTTTATTATTAAATTTTCTACTTTTCATTTTATTATAAACTACTGCTTGATCAAATTCCACCATGTCAGAGATGTTGTAAGATTTACTTAATCAATCCTTACCTGTATCTGATGTTTCACTGGTGAAAACTTGTGATTCTCGTAACCTACTTTCTGGCACAGGACTCACTATAAACCGTCTTCCAGCAGAATGAACAACTTGTGTTAAAGAACTGGTAGGAACACCTGAATAAAACAAATCACTGAAGTTCATGTATATTGTTAACCATGGATGAAGCCTCAAGATTCCATTGTTGGCACATATAACTTCTTATTAATTAAAAATTAAAAAAAAACTTACCAATTTGCTGTGGCATGGATACAGCAATTGGTTGCTTGAACTCTCCTAATTTCTACAACAAACAGAAGTAAAATTATTCTCAAATGCAACCTCCATTATTATGCAAAGCAAACAGTCATATGTGATGAGAACACAAATGCTCATTCTCAGTCACAGGAGTATTGTGTGTGGCAATGCAGAACACTTTTAAATAAACAGAGCCTAATTATTGGTATGGTGAACCTACCTGAGAACCGGAAAAGCCATATTCATCCTTTCCTTGCAGACTCTCCAATCCCTGATCACCCTCAGGCTCCACACTGACATCCTCACTTAGCATTTCATCAGCTTTTTCAATAATTTCCCGCACTTGAGCCACAAAAGACTCTCTCTCTATAGCTAGAATAAAGTCATTGTTCACCTATAAGAAACATGATTATCAATCTATTAGTGCATTTCTTACCATTCTTTTGATGTCTATCTATATATCAGGGGTACTGTGTACTTGGTATTTAAGATACTACTCTTTATAAGACCTCAAATACATACATCAGCTACATCTTACACAAAAACACCTCTAAATCACACACTAGGTTGGGTATACAGGTTTTAAAACAGAAATTAAAATTTACAATTGTCAAAATGAATGTGGATGACAAAATATTACATAGTTGCCTAGGACATGTACTTATGAACAAATACTACAGAAAAGTGTGGAATTTCAAATGGAAACATACCATAATTGTTGCTATCTCTTCAGGGTTGTCACCATCTAGGTCAAATTTGAATGTAACCATTTTCCGATTATGAGTTTCTAATTGACATTCTACTACTCGATCTCCTTTATTTGAAACCTACAAAGAGAGCAGTAATGTTCAGATTTACTACTGAATTGGAGAAAACATATTGTCTGAGGAAGAACACTGTTACCACTATTCCTTGAATCTTAAACTGGCAATACGGAAATCAGTGAGAAAAATCTCAGTCCTCAAGTTCCTTTTATCTTCCATTAGCAAAAGTGTCTAGACTTTTTTCTATTAGTTAGTGGTGCATGCTTTTAATCTCATCATTCAGGAGGCACAAGCAGTTGGGTCTGTGAGTTCAAGGCCAGCCTGGTCAATAGAGCCAGTTCCAGGACAGCCAGGGCTACACAGAAAAATCTTGTCTTGAAAAACAGAACAATAAATAAGCAAACAAAACAACAACAAGATAAATGTGATATTCAATTAAAAGAGACTAAGTGACATTAAATGAAAAGGTTGCCATAAAATTTACATATAGCTGTGGGTGGTGGTGGAACATGCCTTTAATCCCAACACTCAGGAGGTGGATCTCTATGAGTTTGCAGCTAGCCTGGTCTACAAAGCAAGTTTAGGACAGCCAGGACTGCTATACAGAGAAACTCTCGAAAAACCAAAAAGCTATCATTTTATTCTTTGAAGTGAATAGCTTAGACTTGATCTCTAAAATTAAAGTACCAAATTATTTTAACTATACAAAGGTTATATAAGTCAATATTTACATTTAAAATCCTCAGTTTTGGGCGGGAAGTCTTTTCATGACGAGAGCGACTTCTTACAGATTTTCGATAATGACGTTTTGTTGTTCTCCCTTCATGCCTCCCACTGGATGATGGAGCATTCTCGTTACCATCACTCATTCCTGAAGCAACATCTGAATGTGCACTTTGAAGGAAAAATGTTCAATGTATAATGAGATTGAAAGGCCAGTTATTCCTAAATTTCATATCATCCTGCCTACTACTCAATCAAAGGCGTGTTCTTTTAGTTTACCTACCTGTCTACAGATGAAACCAATGTGACAGGCTGGGCAGGCTGTGACTGTGTTATTGGAGTTGGTTCTGGAGGAGCAGTCTGAGAGACTCCCTGAGTACTCTGCGAATAGAGAGGATAACTCAAAACTTGGCAGTTATTGTGTATGTATGTATATAAAAATCATTCACCATTCCTAAGACATTCCCTTTTTGTTTCCTGTTACCCCTCTATGAGTCCTAGAAGCAATGAAGACACTAATAATCTTTATTATTCAAACTCTAAAAACAGTGTGCTTACATTTTCAAAATAAGTTTCCAAAGCTAGTAGTTTCTAATACAGACTGTTGGTGTGAAGTCAGCCAACCTATTTTCTAGGCATTGTGAAACTACAATTTGCCATGCAGACAGCATCTTACCAGAGTGTGCAATAGGGCAGGTAGAGCAAAATGCAGAGATGAATTCAGAACTGTATCCTAGTAGAACAAAAATGATTGCTGGGAGCACAGCGAGATAAGATACTCTTATGAACTGCCAATGGCAAGAGTTTGTGGAAGGAGAAGAACAATGGCTAACGCACTAGCTAGAGAAGTGAAGTTCTAATAGTGTTAATCTTCTCTAAGGCAAACTCACTTCCCAACAGAACAGCCAGTGGCAACAAGGCCCCCACATTGGCATTTCATTCTGCTGTAAGAAAAAGTCATTTAGAAGTTAGACAGTCTCCAAATGAGTTCTAAATCAAGGGAACCTATATCATCTTTGCTATTTGAACCCCCATTTTTATAGATGTTTTCCACATAAACATGCAGTAATTCCATTTACCTCCAGAACTGCTTGCTGGGAGGATGTAGTGGGGGGTTGTTGCGTTAAACTCACTGATGGTTGGGACACTTGAACCTGTCCTCCTACACTGCCCATAGGAACCAAAAGATTTGATTCCACATAAGGCTGCACTACTGTAGGAAAGTAACCTTGGGTGGCCAATGCTTCTGTGGGCATAGGAGGAGGGGCTAGGACTGTAGAATGGATGCAAACAGAAGCCACGTTGGAAGAGGGAACAATATTTGAATCTCCTGGGTACTGTGATGGCAGTCGAGATGGGAAGCCCTGTGACAGAAATGAGGAACGTGAGTTAGTGCAGGTTGGGACATCAAATTAGCAAATCAGTAGATGAGGGGGCAGAGGAAAAAAAGCACAAAGCAAAGAACAGTGCCCCACTTTCTTGTAATTTAAAGAATGAACTGGCAGATAACTTGGAAAATGGTACTCTTTCAATTATACTTTAAACTGATTTCCCCATCCTAGAGATCATTTAAGCAAAACTTGAAGATTTAATTCCTCACAGAAAGAATTTACAACATGGAAGAATGCAAAAATATCTCCCAGGTATCAGTCATATTATGAAATGCTAATCCTCTAAATCTAAACCCTGAACTTTCTTAACATCAAGCTGTCAACATAAAAAAGAGCAGCCTGGAATACTACCACTAACCATATCCAGGTTTATCTAGCTTACCCTGACTACTGCGTTAACTTTTCCTCTTCTTCTTCTTCTTTTTTTTTTTTTTGGTTTTTCGAGACAGTGTTTCTCTGTATTGTTTTGAAGGCTGGTTTGGAACTGGCTCTGTAGACCAGAGACCCATCCGCCTTCCTCTGCCTCCCGAGTGCTGGGATTAAAGGCGTGCGCCACCAACGCCTAGCCTAACTTTTCTTCTAAGTTGTGTCTTCAAAAATGTGTAAGGAATCCTTTAATAGTATCACCCCATTAGTTTCTTTGAGACAAGCTCTTACTATGTTGTCCTGGCTAACGTGGAACTTGCCATGTAGACCAGGCTAGCCTTGAACTTACAGAAAAATGTTATCTGCATCTGCCATCCCAAGTACTGGGATTAAAGGCACACACTACCATGCCTAGCCTTTCATCCTTTTTCAGAATTTTGTTATTTTTATTTTGTCTAGTTCAGAGTGTCAACTTTTGTTATTGTTACTCTGACACTCAACGAGTACCTGTCCTGCCTCAAATTCTTAATGATCTGCCATAAAAATTTAACACTCTAATACCCTCTGAGTTACTGGCTAACACAATACCTGGTACAGAACATCTCCAGAGGGAAGTGGACCCTCAGCAGCTTGTCCAAGGTTAGCTGGTATTCCCATGGACTGAACTGTTGGCTGTAGGAGCTGTGGGTGAACCTGATTCTGCAGCTGATTCACAGGCTGCAGAAGGGTTGGAAGCTGATTAGGAACTACAGTTGATCCCCCTGGGATTGAAGATGCTGTAGCAGATGAAGCCAGGGTGAGCAGAGGCTGATTAATGCCAGCAGCCATTGTTATAGGAATGGATGAGAAACCTGTCTGTGCTGTAGACACATGAGGAGTTGATATGGGAACTTGAGAGACAGGGTACTGTGGGAGTAAGGAAGTAGGAAGTGGCTGTCCCACAGGAAGGAAATGAGCACCAGAGTGGACTGGAACAACTGAGGGTTGTGCAGAAACTGGGATGTGAGGTTCGCCTTGGATAGTTGGTACTGTCTGGGAAACTGGAAGCTGGGAAGGCAAAGAAAACAAAACAGACTTTTTTGTTTAAAAGCAAAGCTGCCAAAAGCAAGATTTACATTATTAGTTAAGAAAAAGAAAAAAAAATCCTGTATACATTAGTATAAATTAACCTGATACATCCTTCAAGAAAGGATAGGAGAGAGAAATATGCTAGTAAAAGTGTCTAACATTTCTAAACCTTTTAATGTAGAAAAATTGTTATGCTTCACTGTTGGCAAAGAAGAGGATCTTTTCACAAGCAAGGATTTATCTCTTCTCTCCTTACTGGTTTATTTTTTGATTTTTGATCTCACTAGGCAACTCAGACTTTCCTGAAGCTTGATAGGTGGCCCAGACTGGACTTAAAAACTTTAGGTTCTTCTGGCTTCTGGCTTCCAAGTGCCAAGACTCCAGACTTGTATCAGAACACATAATTTTTTGTTGTTGTTTATTTAAGTTGTTTTTCAAGACAGGGTTTCTCTGTGTAGTAGCCCTGGCTGCCCTAGAACTCATTTTGTAGACCAGGATGGTCTCATAGAGATCTGCCACTACCACCTAGCTTTATTTATTGGCATGCATCACATACCATGATCCATCAGCATGTCTGCAATCAATTAATCTATGACTGCTATTATAATGATTAAAATCAAATTTCTTTCTGGTGGAATTAGACTTCATCAATATTATGTCTCAGTTTTAAGTGTAAAATGGCTCTATAAAAGTAGGTATAATTAACATAACTCACTGATTCTAGGATTTAATCACTTATCATTTTAAAACTGTGTCATTTAAAAATCTGAGAAGTTGAGATACATGTAAAAGTTAAGAGCTTATGTCAGGATGTACTCAGTAGTAAATAAAACAATAGTGCATTTACAGCTGCTATTATTTTAGTTGAGATGACAATAATATGCTATATACATTTATCTACAAATGGTCCATAGATGAAGTTGATAAAAGGTTATTTTTAAGAACATGCCTTCTACAGGGTAGGTGGGGCTTTGATAGGTGTATCTTGGCCTTAGCGTCTTCTATGCTCCTTGGCAGCCATAATAAGAGTTTTTTATGCCATAATCCTTCCTTCATCTATAACCCTTTCTCCATCTCCTGCTACAATATAAAGGAATTACGGCCTGCCAATCATGGATGGACTGAACCTCTTAAACCATACGAGAAAACAAATGATTCCTTCCTTACAATACTTTTCTTAGGTATTTGCCAGTGATGAAAAAATTAATTAACACAATGAGTTAGCATCTATATGCCGTGAGGGAGAAAACATTGAAGAGCTTTACATGAGAATAAAATATAGCTGCAGACCTAGAACAGCAGATTTAGCTGCCACAAATCTAGAGAATGTCAAAGGCCCAGTTATCAAAAGATTTCCATTTAACCCATTAATTTCAATACTTCTAACTACTTTATACCTACAATCCTCAAATTTCAGTATTTTTACATTGTCATTACTATTGATATGTACCAATTTATAATAAAAATACATGTGTATAATGGGATTTTTTTTACTCCATTTTAACAGATTTTTCACTATTACAAGAGAAAACAGAAATCTGTGTGAAGGGATAAAGTACACGAATATCATTTGTAGCATCTTTTCAGGAATTAGAGTTTACCTGTGTTCCAGCTGACACTTGAGGCAAAACTTGTGGAGCTTGAGGCTGTGCAGTAGTGCCTTCACTGGAAGATGCTGCCTGTGGAAGTGAATACTGTACTGCCTGTTGAGGAGGAGCAGAGGGCTGTATTCCCTGTTGCAAAGAAAAAAAAGTTTTTTGTTTTTCACTGCCAGGGCTACACAGTGAAACCGTATCTTGAAAGAAAAAAAAAAATCACACATACAAACACAAAGGTAATTTGCCAGTGGTGTTAGTAGGTGCCTTTAATCCCAGCACTTGGGAGGAAGAGGCATGCAGAGCTCTGAGTTCTAGGTCAGCCTGGCCTACAGGGCAAAGTTCCAGGACAGCCAAGGCTACACAGAAAAAAAAAAACCAAAAACAAAAAAACGAACAAAACAAAACAACAAAAAAAACAACCCACCAGTCTTTAAAAAAATAGTAAGTAATACTTGAACTCCCATTAGTTTTCTCCAACATGGTCTTCACCCAAACAAGAAATCCTTACTTAATTATGTCCAATAGTTCCTTAGCCCTCATACTAACAACATTTGTTACAAACAGGTAATATTCTAACTTTATGACTTGGCTTTAAGACTTTCATGGAATGGAGACAACATAGCTCAGTTGGTAAAGTGTTTACTTTGAAAGCATGAACACTTGAATTTGGACCCCGCCCCTTTCAGCCCATAGGAAAAGTTGGGTATACTGGCGTGCTCACCAACCTCTCTACATTTGTAATCTTAGTTGTAGGTCTTGGGACTGGTATGTGAGTCTAGTCTATTTGGTGAGTTCCAAGCCAATGAGAGACTGTCTCAAAGGAGGTGGTTGGCATTCCTGAAAGTGACAGTTAAGGTTGACCTTTTGCCTCAATGTGCACTCATATATAAGGTACAAAAAAATTCACAAACACACACCAACTAATTTAGTATTTAATTTTTCAAGACAGGGTTTCTCTGTGTAGCCCTGGCTGTCCTAGAAAAAAAATGACTAAACAAGTAACGTATATTTTACCTGCTCAAAAATAAAACAATTGTCTTTGGCTAAGCCGTGTACAACAGTCTATACTTGTAGTAGTGAAAAAATGTATGTTGCCTTTAAAATTTTATATATTTTCAGAGCAAGGGAACAGACATCATTTAAGACAGATGGCCCAGGTGATCTAGCATCTCAAAACGCCTCTGTTACAGTTTCCTCAGGTTTCTGCAAGACTTGACTTAGCCATTATCCTGAATTTTCTCAGGATCCCCCAAAGTTCCTAACACCCCAGACAGTAAGGAAGTAGTCTAGAGAGAGATGACCAAATTTCCAACATATGGGTTATGGATGTTTATTATCATTTAAGTGTGTCTGGTTACAAATTGTTACTGGTCTTAGTTAAAAAAAAAAAAAAAGAAGCTCATAAAAATTAAATTCAGCCGGGCGGTGGTGGCGCAAGCCTTTAATCCCAGCAGTCGGGAGGCAGAGGCAGGCGGATCTCTGTGAGTTCGAGGCCAGGCTGGACCGACAGTCTCCAAAACAATACAGAGAAACCCTGTCTCGTAAATACCAAAAATAAATAAATAAAATAAATAAAAAAAATTCAAAGATCTCTTTTTAAAGGAAAAGAGGGGGATATGGTATAGGAATGATAAGAAAAAAGGGTAGATTATTGGATTTACTTTAATCTAAAAAACATTTTACATTGGGATGGATTTTGGTTTATTAATACAAACTAAGTTATTTTTGCTATACTATATTTATGTTTCTACTCTTGTCTGGGGTATTGTGCTTATGAAACTCATCTAAAAATGTAACATGTAATTAAGAAATACAGATTTGTAGTCATATTAGGTATGTTTTTAAGGTTAAACAGATATATTTAGACAGTCTCCAAACACTTCAAAGACCTACAGAATATGGCATTTAATGTGTTTAAAATAACCTAATGCTTTTCATGACAGTGAGACATTTCAGATGAGATGATAGGCATCGAAGAACCTTTCCACATGGAGTTTGCTGTCTATGTGGCAAAAGTTAGTCACTGGGCAAGAAACTTCCCTTGCCTTGACTACTGACAGAAGACCAGTAGGATACAAAAGGAAGTGACTGCCAAACTTGGTCGAGAAAAGGTAGGATAGTCCCTTGAGATTCCCTGCTTCTCAAAAGTGTCTGTCAGATATACTAGGGCTATAGGCCAAAACTGGATGCCTCAAAGTTACAGAAGAACTTTGGACAACTGTCCAGGCATCCAGATGTCCCTGTTGTTAGGCAACATTACATTCTGCTGGGGTCTCTTTTTTTTTTTATTTTTTTGAGTCAGGGTTTCTCTGTATTGTTTTGGAGCCTGTCCTGGAACTCACTCGGTAGGCCAGGCTTGGTCTTGAACTCACAGAGATCCACCTGCCTCTGCCTCCCGAATGCTGGGATTAAAGGCGTGCGCCACCACTGCCCGGCTTCTGCTGGGGTCTTTGATGGAGTTAAAGACTAAATAATTAGTCTTGAAGTTTTCCTTAGTTATGAAAAAAAGTAGGAATAAAACTTTAGATTCACAAAGGTAATATAAATAGTATCTTCTCTAAATTTGCCAAATACAAACTGTTTTTGTTGTATATAATTTTACTATGTTAAAGTTAAAACCTTTTTTTTTTTATTTAGACAAAAGGGGGAAATGCTGTGGAATAATCATTCTGTACACTGTAAAAATTGTTAATAAAAAGTTGACTGGCTGGCAGCTAGGCACAATATTCAGAACAGAGAGAATGCTGGGAAGAAGGGTGGAGTCTGAGAAGTCTCAAGCCAGACTTAACATGTAAGTTCATGGATGAGGTAAATCAGCATCAGGGCAGTGCATAGATTAATAGAAATGGGTTAATTTAAGTTGTAAGAACTGGCTGGAGAAAAGCCTAAACTAACGGCTGAGCATTTATTTATTTATTTGCTTACTTTTTGAGACAGGTTTCTCTGTGTAACAGTCCTGGCCTCACTCTGTAGACCAGGCTGGCCTTGAACTCACAGAGATCTGCCTGCCTCTGCCTCCTGAATGCTGGGATTAAATGCACGTACCACCACCCAGATATCAGTCGAGCATTTATAATTAAATTAACAATAAGTCTCTGTGTGGTTATTTGAGAACTGCCTGGTAGGAAAGAAAAGTCCAACTACAAAGATGTAATTTGTTTTCATTTGTTTTGTTTATTTCATTAGTGGTTTTCAGTTGTTTGGTTGTTCAAAATAAAGGAGAGAGCTCCATAAAAGGGAATTGAGGAAAGTTTGTATGAGGTAATTTTTTTTTTGAGATAGTGTTATCACTAGGTAGAGGTCTAGGCCATCTTCAACTCTTTATACCCCAGGTTGGATAAATTTATAATCTTCCTGTCACAGCTTCTGGAACGTTCAGTTTACAAATGTATACAATCATACCTACCAGTTCTCTACCAAAAAATATGTATGAGGAAAAGTCTTTACCTATGGGCATATGCTATTGCCTGTCTCTCTCTCATTCCCATTAAGAATGGAGACTCACATAAAAATCTTGACTCAGTCAATTCTTTCCTGAACATATTCCTTCACAAATTTATCTTTTGGTTAAGTCAAAATGATTTAGGCAAATCAAGGGTGTAGGTGTATATATGTGTACATACACTTGTACAAACATAAGCACATACAGATGTAAATATTTCTAAAATAGTGAAGATCCGCCTTAAACCAAACTGAAGGCTTATTTGTTTCTGTCCCATACTTTTCTATGTTCCTTTTACATGTTCCAAACTGCAATCCCTCCGCCCTTAGCCTGGGATATTCTTTATTGCTATACCAGAGTCTGATTTATAACAGGGGCCCAACATATCATCTCTTCTATAAAGTCTTATTGATATACCCCTTCCAACCAGAAAAGATGTCTACTTTTCTACTAGAGACACAACAGAGTGATAGTGATATGGTGAGCTGTGGGGAAAGATTATTTGGATTTAAAATGTTCTCACCTCTTAGAAGCCATATGTTTGAGAAAGTTTCCCAAACTTCTCAGATTTTAGCTTTCCCATCAGGAAAATAGAACTAATGATAGTCTACATTTTATGCTTACAATTACATTATTTAGGTTCCCTCAGAGCCAATCATGCTAATACATCTTATTTGACTGTCAAAAGGGAAAAAAAACCCCACAAAACAATACACCAAGGTTTACTTGGTTGAGAGTTGAGAAGGAATAAAGGGGTACTTTTTCCTTTTATGAACTTATTTAAGACAACTGACAGGTATGTCAATAGTACCTTAGAGTACTGTTTCTGAGAAATGGTATATTTGGTAAGCCAAAAGTATATGCCATCTGCTTATGCATAATCACACTGGCTAATGACCAATAGATCAGCCAAACAGCGGTGAATCATGCTTTGCCTAGACTTGCTTCATGGAAACCAGTTCAAATAGCTTTTATTGACTGGAAGGACATAGCTGAATGATGATAAACATGATTCTCAGGGCGAACAGAATATGAGTAAGTATCTGAAGGCTTTGTACATGCTCTTATGGAAGACATGCTTATCTTTTCCACAACCTTCTTTATAGCTAGCCATAAATATTGGGAGGCACCACGTTAATATAAATCATACCATTTTTTTTTTTTTTTTTTTTTGGTTTTTACGAGACAGGGTTTCTCTGTATTGTTTTGGAGGCTGTCGGTCCAGCCCGGCCTCAAACTCACAGAGATTCGCCTGCCTCTGCCTCCCGAGTGCTGGGATTAAAGGTGTGCGCCACCACCGCCCGGCTAAATCATACCATTTTAAAGCTTTATTTTTATAATTTCTGTGCATGTACACATATGTACAGGTGACCACAATGGTAAGAAAAGGGTAGCACTTAGAGCTGGAATTATAGGCACTTATAAGCTGTTTGGAATGGGAAATGAACTTAGGCCCTCAGAAGAGCAGTAAACTCTTTCAACTGCTGAGTCATATCTCTAGCCTCTCCATTATAACTCTTGATAAAAACATAAGAAAACAACAACAAATCAGGGTGAAAACATTTTTCATTTACAATGCTCCAATAGGCCACAAGATAAACTACATTTCAGATAAGGTGTACTTCTTTCCTTACTGTAATAACATGGTAGAGAAGGGTCCTTTTCTTCTTTGTATTCATCCACTCACACAGAACCCAGGTAAGTACGGCTTTTTAAATATCTACCACATAACTCATTTTATAACAAGAAAAAAAAGTCACCAATATAGAAAGCTTGAATTTTTGGCTTGCTTAATACCCAAGAGACTCTAGAAAAGTAAGATATATTAGACTACATATGCCTCTTATACAAACTGGTTCATAATTTTGACTACTTTTATTAAATTTAAGATATGCTATAATAATATCTAAAATGGAAACAAAAGAATAATTAATTTGCCGGGCGTTGGTGGCTCACGCCTTTAATCCCAGCACTCGGGAGGCAGAGGCAGGCGGATCTCTGTGAGTTCGAGGCCAGCCTAGTCTACAAGAGCTAGTTCCAGGACAGCCTCCAAAGCCATAGAGAAACCCTGTCCCGAAAAACAAAAAAAACAACAAAAAACAAACAAACAAACAAAAAAAAGAATAATTAACGGTCCATTTATTTGAATTTTCTCCACCACTATAATCAACCATTTAACACTTTCTCAATTTTTTTCTTTTTTTAGATTGTTCAAATTTATTTGTACTTATTCTGACATTTCTATTTATACAGAGAATGAATTTCATTCATTTTCAGTGGTTATACCATTTTGTGGAACCTGGTAACAGATAATATAGACTTTTGAATAACAGCAGTGTAACTATTTAGGAACAAGTTCATTGTTGTAGAAATCTTGGCTTCTAGTAGCTAATAGTTGCTGGGGGGAAGGAATGAAGGGGAATCACTTTCTTCACTTTCTACACCACTGAAAAATATTCCATGTTTCTATAAATAACCCCCTGTGCTAATTAACACTAATTAAGCTCATTGAGTCACTCACACACTTTAGCCATTTTATTAAGGTCTGGTTCTTTTTAAACTCACGTCCTGAATTCCTCGGATATTCTGGGACAAAACCTTCCAGGTCAAAAATTTAATAAAAAAAAAAAAAATCAGATGGGCATGGTGGCGCACGTCTTTAATCCTAGCACTTGGGAGGCAGAGACTGGTAAATCTCTGAGTTACACAGCAAGTTCCAGGACAGCCAGGGCTACATAGAGAAACCATGTCTTGAAAAAACAAAACAAAACAACTTCCTGCAGCAGTTGTGCTCTTTATATTTTAAGTTCCTAACATGCATGCTTAATGTCTGAGGTGGCCAGAAGAGAGCACTGGATCCCCTGGAATTGGAGTTAGATTAGAGATGGGAACAATACATGCTCTTAAACAATTTTCTTTGTATGGTTTACCTTATGAATAAAAATTACTTAAGAAGGCAGATAAATTATGTAACAATTCTTCTAAATTTCAACACATACCTTGTAAATTGCTCATATATACATTAACCAAAACAAAAGATTTCCTAAAATACTACTAAATGCTTGAAATGTTATGCCACTTAATCATCTCCCAAAACTTAGTAAGCCATTTATATCAGCAATCTAACATGAAGGACATAAACAGAACTTCTAACCACTGCTAAAACACAATGTAGCAGATTAACATTCTTATTTACCTGCTGAGGATGTTGGACAGGTTGTGTAGGTAGAACCCCTGCTAAGTTACTCGATGGCTGGCCCTGGCTTTGCCCCTGTGCCTGAAGAAAAAAAGCAAACACAAATTAGAGAAGATTTGTGCACATGAAGGTTAGACTTCTGTATAAATACTTCAGATCCTGAGAAGACTGCTCCATTGAAATGAAAAATCAGTTTGGTAGTATAGTACAAGACAGAACATTTTAAATCACATCTCAGGTAAAAACAAACAAGCAAAAACACAAATACACTGATGTTAGAAATCTACCATTAATGTTGGCTAAAGTTTTACCTGTCTTGAACAGTTACATTCAATAATAAAATTGTCACAGGACAATGGTGGCAAGATATCAACATGAAAAACTTTAATCTGGATAATTAAAAAAAAACCATATTCAAAAATGCTAATCTTACTTTTTTTTTGCTATTTCTTATAGTCATTGTAACTGATAAAAAAAAGTAAAGATCTGATAAAAATCAACTCTTAAACAGGTATGTAATGATTGTCCCAGGTAACAGATGGAAATATCTGAAGTCACTCTAATTGTCAAAACTAGGGGAAATTGTTGCTACTTCTAGAGATGCACCTAAAAGTTCTATAATGACCATTAATATCCCATTCAGAACAAAGGATTGACCAACCCAGAGAATGTCAACCATGTTGGGTCTAAGAAACTGGGCAGTTTATTACAATGAATGAGAAGTCTAAATTAACTGTGAATGAGTGCAAGAATATGTGTTAAGGAAATGAATCCATATATACTATGTACATAGACATATGTTAAGGAAATGAAAAGGCTTTATTGTTTCACTTCAATTTACAAGAGGCTCTTTGAAGTTTACATGGATGTATCACACTCCACTAAAATAATCTATTTTCTTAAAATTTTTATTCTTTGCAAAGCTTGGAGGATAATACGAGCATACAACTCGACAATGCTACTTAAGTTTCTGGGTCCTTCTGCTTCTTACCACTACTCCACGTAACTGATATAGCTAAAGAGTATGAGACAGTCATCACTGATTTCTTTAATTCTGTGTCTCTGTTGATATTTGTATGAGTATGTATGCTCATGTGTGTGACTGCATTTTTTTAATGTATTGAAAGAAGAAGGCCCGCGACACTACTGTTGCTGCTGGCCTTTGCAACCCATTATTATAAACTCATGCAAAACCCAAATTTTATTATACTGTTAATAGCCAACAGAATTTGATATAGTCCTTAATTTAACTGATTAATGCTCTATTTGGATCCTTAATACAGTGGTTTGATTAATACCGTTTCAAAATTGCCCTTTCTTCATTTATTATGCCAAACTCCTAAGAGGTGTTTTCTTAAGTCCTACTTATAATGAAAGGTTCTGTGTTTCTTAAAATGACACCAAAGTTTTCACTACTTCCCATTTTTGCTTTATTGTTACTTTTTTAGTTTTTAAAAACTTATTTAGAGGAAGGAATTATACTAGATCATTTTACTGTATCTAAATAATCAATTGCATTTTCATTACCATGGTAAATTTCAACACAGAGATTAGTCATTAATTCTGACAACTAAAATCACAGGCAAACCAGGTAGTTTCTGCTTTATATAAAGTACAAGTATTGACAACCACAAAAGAAATTCTATTAAGAAAATAAACAACATTCCTCATAAATCCACGATTCAGGGAAATGAGATAGAAAACTTAAAATGCACTGATGCAAAAAGGGTAGTTTAAAAGAATTGTGAAAGTTTTCCTATAACCTGTGGATGGAGTGTAGATCCTCCTGAAGAATGTGAGGCAGATAAGACCTGCTGAGTTGTGGTTCCTTGGGGGAAACAGAAGATAAGTGGGGATTCTTGTAATACTGTCTGAGGCAGGCGAATAAAGGGCAATGAGACGTCAGAGCCAAAAGATGCAGCTGTTCCCCCTGTAGGGGGAGGTGATTGAAAATCACTGAGATCTGAAGAAGTTATTTGAGAGGAATCACTGGAATATTCTGGGCTTCCTATTGGCCAGTTCTGTCCCACAGGCTCTACCACAGAAACGGTCAATTCTGGGGCATGGTTATTACACTGTTCTTCAGTAACAGGCTGCAGATGGCAATGTAATCCAACTGACTGAGGAGGCAGTTCTTCCTGACTTGAGTCCACCGCAACCTGTCGACTTCGGTAAACACGTTGAGGTAAAATTCCACCTCCTTCTCCTGAAGAGGAACTTGGTGTTTGAGCATGAAATTCAAATACACAGTTGCTTCTGTTCTCACTGTTATGAGTTAGCACAGCTGGTGCAGAATGAGGAACAAAGACCGGGTGAAATTTCAAATGTGTAGCATCTGTACTGTTAGGTGCAGAAATACTAGAGAGGGGTGATGCTGGACTAGATCCAGAATCTAATCTTAAATTCTGAAGGTGTCCTACCAGGAAAGCCTGTCCAGATGGAAATTCAAAGACAGAACTTGAGGCAGGGCCCCCAGGCACTGGCTTCTGTTCAGGTATCTGTTTCATAGGACTTGACAATAATGTTGAGTTGTATGAAATACCCTCATACTGTCCTGCCACCTGGGCCTGGTAATGCACCCCAGCTAGATATACTGTTTCCTGAGGAATAAAATAGTGAGCTTCTTCTGCCAGCACTAGTCCAGGTCTATAGTCACTGTAAATCTGGGTTGGCTCAAACACAGGTTGGACCTGCATCTCACATAACTCTCTATTTACTCTACTGGCCGTAGTACCCAACATAACTATGGCCTCTGGTGTCCAGTTAGTTGGGCTGCCACCAGGTGGAAGAAGATTTTGGCCAACAGTTCTCAGCAGGGGTTGGAAGTGGCGAGTTTGGGCTTCCAGGAAGGATGTGCTCTTACGTCGTTGGGAAATGGCTACTTTCGGTGGATAGGTGGGAGGTGGTGAAAAAGAAACTGGACGTTCATGAATAGTTGGGAAAAATATCTGTGATTCTGAGTATGTTGGGGTCCCCCCACACGGATGCGTCATGGACTGAGGCTGTATCAACATGAATAAGACAAGTAATTCATACATTCAATAAGTGAAATTACATTAGACATGCATAGCTGGATAGTACTGTGTAACCCCATGACGTGGCCACACCAAAATTTTAATAACTAACAATGCTTTTGGAAGTTACGTGTATAGCAAAAATCCATTAAATACATCCAGGGCTAATAAAGTCAATCTTTGGCACTTCCTTAAATGAAAAACAGCTGTTTTCCCACAAATCTGCTCTCTCAAAGCAAAGGCATGAATTAAACTTCCTAAGTGATTGATTATTCCATTCATCTATAATAAATGTGTTCATTCTTGAAAGTTTTATTAATGGAAAGAGTTAAAGTCAGAATATTAAAGAACAACAAATAATCCTACTATTTCAATTTAAGCTACTGTTCCATACTTTTGCTGTATTAGTTTATTAGAGGCCTCAGGGTTATTTTCATCAACTAACAGTAGATGATCAAAAAAATTTTATAATGCTGTAAATCAGAAGATACTTTTAGTAGATGGTATAAAACAAGTCAATACATATTTATATAATTTTAGTACTCAAGAAGCTCAGGCAGGGGGATTTTTGAGTACAAGGCTAAACTGATCAATTACACAATGAGACACTGCCTTTAAAAATAGACAACAAAAGGATAAATGATTAGTTTTCTCCCTTCTGTATCCAAAACTACAAATAATTAATAGTTTTACTATAAAAACGTGTTAAAATCATTCTCCTGATCATTGATAAGGGTTGAACACCATGAGTTCTCTAATTGTGACAAATTAGATGAAATGGAGATATTTTAAGATAATAGCAAACCCAATTTAATAGCAAATTTTGTTTCCAGAATTTAAGACTGAACTTAGAATCCTAGCTTGCCAAATACAATGCACATAATTCTCTACCATGGATAGAATTCTTAAAAATATACTGGTTTTAGACTAGGGATGCAGTGCTTCCTTAGCATATGCAAAGGTACAGGTTCAATCATTAACAACACAAAAATGGTGTAGGGGACAGAGAACAACCTCAGGTGTTAGCCCTCACTAGCCAACTTGTTTGAGACAGGTCTCTATTGTTTGATGCTGGCTCCCATGAGATTCTGGAGAGTCTGTTAACACTTCCCATCTCACTACAGGAACACTGAGATTATGAATGTGAACTACTGTGACAAGCTTTACATAGGTTCTGGGGATCTGCACTCAGGTCTCCAGGCTTGTGCAGCAAGCATTTTAGTCACTGAGCCATTTCCTCAACCTGCTAAGAGTATGTTGTATCAAATGCTCACATTTTATTGATTAGTCTATGCCCCATTTTATATAATCTTTGGGGGGAAAAGCACTTCCCAAAGAGGGAACAGCCTTTTTTAGTTTCCTGACATCATTTTACACAAATGATTGGATTAAAATAAACTTTTACTCCTCAATTGACTGGTTAAAAAACAAAGGACTCAACTAGTTGTATCCCTTAAGAATAAATTAAGGCGAGAACACATTTGGATAATGTTCAGTAGAATCTACTTTTGATTAGGCTAATAACGAGTTAATAATGAGTAATACACACTTTTTACTAAGATATGAAAATGCAAATCCTTTTATCAATGGGAGATAAAGTATAATAAGAACTATATAGCATTCTCTTTCCATTGCCTCCTTGCTTTTTATTCTCATTTAAAGTCTTATTACAAAAAAAAAATGCTTTCTATAGGAATAGTTGTTATCCTAAAAGCCAACATTTAACCAAACTAATCATTTAGTTTTGTTTTTTAACCAATTTTTCCGTGCCTGGATGTATTCATTGGTAATAGTTTTTCACTTGTCAGGAAGTTTACAGTTACATACAGTAGTGACAAAGAGGGAAGGCAGGCTGGAGCGTCGATGCTTGCGCTGAGAGGCAGAGTGCATAGGCAGGACACTCTCCAATGCTTTAGAGAGTTTTTCGGCAAAAGTTTCCTCAGGGGCAGTCCGAAGGAGGGAAGGACAAAGAGGTGCAGACAACACTGGTGGTGGGGTAGAAGGAGCACTGGGAGAGATGCGGGATAGAGAGGGAACAGCAGAAAGATGGGGAACACAAACCGACATGCTACGGCCACGACGAGGCTAAACAGAAAACAAACACACATGAAAAACACAGTACTCTGAAAACAAAATAACCAAAAGTACAGTGATAATAGGGCACAGTTAACATAAAGAAATGTTCTACCCTCCCCAATTCTGCAAAGTTAAAAAAAAACTTTGCTCTAAAACCAGTTATGTAACTCTACAAAACACAGTTGGTATATCCTAACTATTCTCTTTGTTCCAGTGGTTTTGTGCAGGATTTCTTGTATGAGAAAAATATCAATTATGATCTTAATATTTTGAGGTAACACCAACTGTTAGTGTATGAATTATAAAAATTGACTACTGGTACCACACAAGTAATGAACTATAGTTACATTAAATAAGAATAAATTCTATTAAAGTATAAAATTTGGAAGATTTTAAGAGTAAATTGCAAGAGCTCTAGAAACTTAAGGAAAAATATTATCTATTTTAGAAGGCAGTCTAAAAAGTTGTTACACTCGCCACTTTCTGTATAAAGGTTAAAAAGTCTTTATCGAATAGAAGAAAAGAATAGCTTTCTGAAGCTCACAAATGGGCAACAGAAATACTATGTACTTTTATAAAAGTCAGTGGGGGAAATGCCTTCACTTTGAATCTTTAAAGAATAAACCCCTATGAGAATTCAGTTTCAGGTATCTTAAGAGAAAGGGTTTAACACAGCTACATAGCTAGTCTAATATCGCAAGGGTGTCTCTGGAGCAAGTTTATGATCTCTTTCTTTCTCAAAACAGGCTGCAAAGAATACTTGGAACCCATCAGTATGTACCACGATTTAGTTCATCTTGGTTCCAGTTTTTTACCTTTGTCTCTCTTATTTTTAAATGTTCTCTCACGACATACATTATCATAAGACATAGTAGGTTCTTGAAATGAGAAAAGAGTAGAATTATAAAATGTTTTATTATTCTAGATACAATTCTTTATAATTACTCTAGAATACTGTCATCAAAAAGCTAGAAACAGTCTGGTTTTAGAGCATCAAATAAATACAGCTATGTTAATGGCTTAAGCATTGAATATTTGCAAAAATGATCAACCTTACTTGTCTTTTAAAAAACAGATATAATCCCCATGATGAGGGAAGCCAAGAGGCTGAAAATAACTGTTACAAAGGGAGAAATTAAGAAGTACTGACAACTAATATTTGTCAGTATACAGAAATAAATCACCCAAGGTCATTTAGGTTAAAGAACAGATTGTTAAATGGTTAGTATATATTAGTTGGACTTCATTATGTTAATGTGGCCATTCATCTTGGGACCTAAGTCCAAAGCAGGACTGATCCATCAATGGACTCCAAAGGAAAAATCTTTTATGAGTGAACGTATTTTCCTGGGGGAAAAAATTCATTTAATGAAGAATTCTACAAAGTTTGGATTAAAAGCCTTCTGGGAAGGAGAGAGGCAAATCAGTTGCTTAAAGACTGTACTAAACAAGTGATATAAAGTGAACAGTTATCATCTAATTCCTTTCTGAAGTATATGGTCTATCTTTTTTCCTCTGAAAACCTCACAGAGAGTCAGCCAAAAAATGGGGATATTTTATTATTCATCTACTTCAACATTTACTATTGCAAATGGACAATGTGCATATACATCATATATATACAAGAATAAACTATTCCAACAAATTACTTCTGTAAGCTGACTCTGAAAATAAACTGGTAAAATAAATACCAAATAAAGGAAAAAGCAAATGAACATATACTGGGAAAGGAACACGCATAGCAACTGATGATCAACTAAATACAAGCAATAAATTAGTCAGAGGTCATACAATAAAGGACTCCTTTAATCTGTAATACTCACATGCAACATTCTATAATAATTTGAAAGTCTTACCTGGTTTTTATACAAAAAAAAAATCTTACAGAAACACTTATTACTTTAGTGAGTAAGCTTTACAAAATTTTAAAAAGCCTTGCTCCACCCACAAATCTTGTTACCTAGTTTATGCCACTTTGAACAGTTTTAATTCCTAGGTTCTGAAGAGACTGCAGTTTAGTCTTAAAGTTCACATAGCTGCTTTGTATAGGAAGTTCAGCTAATTCTCAGTTTTTAATGTGTATTGTTACACAGCTTGAACTATTCCTGGTTATACTCACTTCCTTTAGAAATAACATCAGTCTTCATTCTCTACATTGAGTTGGTTCCACGCTGTCCCAACAGATAGAAAAATCTGCAGCTGTCCAGTATTTGCATATAATCTCTATATTACTTATAATACCGATTCAATTCAAAAGTCATTTAAATAGTGTTATATTGCTAGGGAATATAGCAAGAAAAAGTCTGTACATGTTCAGTACAGATAAAAATGTTAAGCATTTTACTATTTAAGTTCAAGAATGTGAAAACCACAGACAAGGAAGACTGACTAGACCATTTATATTCTCTAGCTTAGACTGACACAAGAAATAACTTGATTGTGGCAGATTACCTATTGGCTATCATTTTAGTATTACTTTTTTTATGCATACACTCACCATACTTGAGGGTGGATACACCCCATGAGGCTGAGACTGTGCTTGGAAACTAGAAGTTGTATTCCCTGGTGCTGTGCCAGTAGAATGTGCCTGTTCATGTTGGGAGCCATAGGAAACTGTCTGTTGGCTGCTCACTCGAGATTCTGTGAAGACAGATGATCCTTGACCGCTGTCAACTGTTCCATCAGCTGAAGGATAAATGAATCATCAGAGAGAGAAGTTATACATTTTAGACTCATTTCATAAAGGTTATTGATTATTTCTTTGTTCAAATCAGGAGTAATTTTTAAAAATGAATGACAGTCTTATCAAGTGGTGTACAACTTTAATCCCAGCATTTGGAAGGCAGAGGAAGGTGGATCTCTTGAGTTTGAGGCCAGCCTGGTCAACAGAGATAATTCTAGGGCAGCCAGAACTATACAGAGAAACCCTATGTGCAAAAATGAAAAAACAAAGCAACAACAACAAAAATTTCTCTAATTATCACTGAATGATATCATCTTAAATTGAATCCAACTTATTACTCTGTGGAGACCTGTGTCTATTTGGTGTTAAACACTTAATTCAATTAATGAGCACTGGTCTCATTAGCCTTTGGTCTGCAATGATATAGTTTTGCTAAAAGAGCTGAACCAGATTAATAGCTTCAATTATAAATAGCAAATTTATTCACCTTTTATTACATGCATATAAATAAACTAAATAAATAGATAACTCAAAACATCAAGACCCCAGAAGTTTTCAAATATCCTTTATCTTAAGCATTTTCTCAATTTTTTTTTTTTTTTTTTGGTTTTACAAGACAGGGTTTCTCTGTATTGTTTTGGAGGCTGTCGGTCCAGCCTGGCCTCGAACTCACAGCGATCCGCCTGCCTCTGCCTCCCAAGTGCTGGGATTAAAGGCGTGCGCCACCATAGTCCGGCTTCACTAACACATTTTCTCAGCTTCACTAACACATTTGCTTACCTCCCCGCAATACTTACATAACACAGATATACTAGGCTGCTGATACTGTAGTTGCTGATGTTGATCTGCCTCAGGTTCTTCGGGTTCTACTTGTGTAGAAACTGAAGCAGAAGTGGTGGGAGCAGTAGGTATGCCAGCGTTAGCAGAAGAGAGCTGCTGAATTCCTGCTTGGGAAACACTTGGTTGTTCAGTCGGCTGTCTGAGACTACTCTCTTCCTGTTTTCTTTTTTCTTGCTCCTCTCGCACCAACTGGCGCTGCTCTCGTTTTCTCTTAATTAATGACACTCTGTCTTTGATAGCTTTAGCCATGGTCTTGTGATCACCTTCACAGACATACCCAGACTCAACCTATAGAGTAAAAAGGTATACTAGGTAAAACATGTTATCTAGAGAAAAAGACTTCAGGCCAAAACAAATTAACAAACAGTGATGTACAAAAGTAAGCTAGTCTTTTTTGGAGGGGTACAAGTGTGTATTTTTTAAGTCTTACAATGTAGTACAGTTGGCCTCAAACTTGGAATCCTCTTGCTTCAAGTTTCCAAGTCCTGGAATTACAGATGTGTGCCACTACCATCAGAGACGTTAGGATTCTTCTTAACCAAACAGTAAAATTACTAGTCTCCATTATGTTTCCCCACAGTTGTGGTAAACAGAGTGTATCTCACCATATCTATAGAATATTACATAAAATTAACAATAAAAATAAGTATCTCTTTCATATCTGTCCCTTTCTCTACTATTGAATAGTTTTTAAATAAATCCTAGAAAGGTTATTCAATGACTACTTTGTCTAATAATTGGCTATTTTAGGCACTGTGACATACCTAGATTTGGTTAAGGGTTTCATTTTAGAAGGGATTTTACACATATTTAAAGTAAGGATACATCAAAGTGACCAGTAACTTTTGAACTTGAAAACACTTTTCAAAGTAAAAACTGTTTGCATAATATTTATTTTTATTATTTAAATCGTGTGTGTGTGTGTGTGTGTGTGTGTATGTGTATGCATGTAGAAACCAGAGGCATCCAACCCCTGGTGCTGGAACTACAGGCAGTTGTGAGCTGTTCTATTTTGGTAGCTGCTGAGCAACCTCTCCAGCCAAAGTGAAAAGACCTTATAATTCTGTATCTCTCTATAATGTTTATAATGATGGATCAAAAGCTAACCAATGTTTAGAAGCAATTCCAAAGTTGGTCTGATTGGATATACCTATAAGCTCAGCACTCAGGGGACAGAATGACCATGACTTCAATGTTCCCAAAGCAAAACAATATAACACATTTTAACTAGAGTTAGCTACAAATGAGTTATTTACCTTTATAGACTTCAGAAAGACTCTAGAATGCATTCCAGTCTTCTATTTCATCCATCCACTTATAACTACATCTTATTTTCCTCAATAAAAGTTTTAAAGGACTAAAACCCAACCCCATTATCAAAACAATACCAAAAAGTATAAAAAAAGGACTTAAAGGAAAAATCATAGGAAACCCCCCTTATTCAAAGACAAAACATATGAGATCAATACAACAACCTCATGTTAATGAGACATGCAGCATTCATCCATTATTAATTTTTTGGGGGGCTATCAGTATCAGCATACATAAATCTACAACATTTAAGGGCCATTTTACCATTTCTTGAGCAACATCTTCTGGTACGTCCCTCTCCAAGTCAAAGGAAAACTCAATAGCTTCATTGTCTTTGTATTTTCCCTTTAGTTTCTTAATATCTTCAATACGCAGCCATAATTTAATAGCTATCTTTTCTCCATCATCTTCTTCTGCTAATTCTACCCGTACCCCTGTTTCCTCCTGGAAAAAGGCATGGTTCAAAAGGTCTTTGATGGAATATCTTTCAAAGAAAAAGAAAATTAAGAAAAAAAGTTATTAGTTTGAAAAGGCCATTTTTCTTTGTCTTTCTGATACAGTATCTCACTATGTTACCCAGGCAAGCCTCCTACAGAGTACTTACAGGCATGAGAATGACTTTCAAATATATGTGTTCACAGTTAAATTAAGGAGAAAAAAAAATCTATGATGGGAAAATTTGTGATTCATTTCAGCATTAGTCCATCGAAATAGTAACGTTGCAAAGTTGTGTGTGTGTGTGTGTGTGTGTGTGTGTGTGTGTGTGTGTGTGTGTGTGTGTGAATAATGGGTTCCAGGACCTTGCACATGCTAGACAAGCACTTCTACATCCTCAACCTATCTTCATAAGTCAATTTGTTTTATTAATAACAGCTGACAGGGATAATTTTTAAACCAAATGATCTAATCTTATTAGTTAGTAGGATACGATTATGGAAATAAAGCATAGAATAGCAAAGCTTCAAAATACCACAAAAACTTAGCAAAACAAATGAACAAACTGTGTATGACCTTGTCTGGCCTTTGAACACTATTATAAAATGAAGGCAGAAAAGGTTAAGATTCTTTCTCAAAGTTCTACAGTTGTAAATGATATAATCATAATAAAACATAAATTTATTGATTTCTAATTTGATACTTTCTACAACAGCAACTTTTATTTACTATAATAAATTCCTTCAATTCCTTGTCAACAACTTGTAGATTAAGCAAGTCAAATATGCTGGTTGTAATCTTTAAAAAAAAACATTTTGTTTATTTTATATATATTGGTGTGAGGGTGTCAGATCTCCTGAAGGTGGAGCTACAGTCAGTTATGAGCTGCCATGTGGGTGTAGGAATTGAACCCAGGTTCCACTGAGCCATCTCTCCAGCCCCACAATCAATCTTCTTTACACAAAATACCAGTAATCAAAGAAAGTGTTCCATCCAAAAGAGAAACAGAATAATGTTTTAAGACTCAAAACAAATATTCCTTTGTTTATACTGAAAAGGTCTTAAGAGAGCTTCTAAAGGCTGCATATCTCAAAACAGAAACCTATAACTAAATACCTGCTGAACAGTCTGAAAGATCATGATATTGAGCTCTTCTTAATAACATAAGACCATAAATGTAAAGATATGGAATTCTTGAATTTAGCTGATATACCCAATTGTGCCCATATTTTTAGGATAGGTTATGCTCAATTTACACTTTATTTTTCAAAGACAGATCTTGTATCTTTGCCAAGCTGACAGGTGACCCAACAGCTACACAGAATAACAGATACTTGACACTTTTCTCAGCAAAGTTCTGTTTGTATCAATGACTAAACCAGATCTCCTCCTAAGCCTAGGGTAAAATCTCTTTTTACTCAAAGGAATTTTGATGCTTTGCTCTTTTTCAATTCTGGCATAATGGTAGGAAAATAAAGGCCCGAATAGTTAAGTCAAGATTTTACTTAACTTTTAAACTTCAGTGGGAAAATGACTAAGGAATAGATTTGTTGCATTGGAGAATGAGCTACACTGTAGAGTTTTCTAAATTATTATGTTGATATAAGTAGTTTTCATTGAATGTAGAGACTGTGTAAGGTGGTTCTGGCTTAAACATTAAACTTAACTTAAATATCACTAACCCACATTTTTACAATTGTATTGAGCAAATCTAAGTAGCTTCAATGGAAATCATCCAATTTCAAAAAATGTTATATATGCTATGAATGGAAAAATGAAACACAAGAAGCAACTTACCTTTCATCTTTGTTTTGTCTGATACATCCTTCAATAATTTCCTTTACTTCAGGAATTGCTACTTTGTCAAAACTCGCTGGCTTCACTCCCTAAAATCCATAAAGTCATAGAAACCCGTTAATGAAAAGAGGATCCTGAATTTTTTTTCTTTAAAATAGGCTGCCTTCTTAATATCCTGGACTTTTTTTCTGATGTATCTACAGGACCTGATCCACGCAGGAATCAGAGGTAGGAAGTGGTAATCTCAAGAAACAGTTTAGTATGGCAGGTCTTAATTTTAAAGAAAAAAATTAGACCAATGACAACATCTTTCCTTACATTTAAAATGGCATTTAGGTTTTCTGATTGGTTAGAAAACTTTTTGTTCCACTTTGCAAACTAACACATTGATTAATTCAGCCTTTATTCTGGACACTAAACCCAGGGGAAGGCATGAATTCAGAGTTTGGTAAGCATCAGATTATACAGTATTATTCTAAAAACATAATACAAAGAATTATAGGTTAGTATTGAATTTGCACCTCTCACAAATCTTACTGTGAAGAACCACTTCTCCCCATCCTTTAAAAGGTCTAAAAAGCAACACCCTCCCCTGTTACTCAGATCTTGATTCTCTTCAGAGTTTGCTCACAAAATAAGTTACATAAATTTTAATCATCTGTATAGTCTCAGTAAGATACATAAAACTAATAATAACTGGATCACAGAAAGGTACATAATTTCTCGCAAGCCTAAATAAAATAGAGAAGCCTGACTTTCTTATCTGTGGCTTCACTTAGTATAACTGTAGTAGGAAAATATTTGTCTTGATTCTATCCAAGAAACCACCTTGTTAATACAACAGTATATTTTATTTTCCATTACTTATTATTGCTAATTTTCTGTTATGCCTAATTTATATATATATTAATTAAATTTTATTATAGGCATACTAAGTCTGTAGGAAATGTATTATAAGATTCATTATCACTAGTTTCAGGCATCCACTTGAATTATACACTGAAAGAGTCAGTGTCAATTAAACATAGAAGTTAAATACAGATTTGGTCAATTCTCATTAATTACCCATTGCATTCTTTCAAGCACTGATTTGGAAAATTGTGCTCCTAATGCTAACTTTTCACAGCAGCTAACTGGGTAGTAGGGTCAAACTCTTAATTTGAAAGTTTAATTTGGAGAATGACTACAAATGTCTTTTATATGTGTTTTCCTCAGTCTTCTTTTTTCAAACACAGCAAAGTGTTCCCTAAATATCTGCCTTTAAATAATTCTGTTTGAGAATCTCATACATGTGCATAATGTGCTTTGATCAAGTCTACTCCCATTCCCCCCACTAATCCATGCACATACACACAACACACCCTTTGATTAAAACCATTGAGCCCACATTTGGCTGTAGAACCACCCACTGAATCCTGGGAAGTAAGATCTTAGGGGCTGAGACCTTGAAGTAAAATGACTGACTCTTCCTCTCCCAGCAATATCCAATACCTCCTCAGGTAGGGTAGTAGTGTGTGACTACCTTCCCTAATCATGCTATGACTTTTTCTGGCTTATTTTACCCAGGTCTTATACAGGCTGTCACAAATGCTGTGAGTACATGTGTGCAGCTACTTATATCCAGGAACCCCCCTCCCCCTCCCTTTTTTTTTTCTGTAGTCATCCACTGCTTCAAGCTCTTACAAGCTCTCCAACCCCTCCTTTCATGATGATGTATGTTAATCATCTATTGCAAAAAGAAGTTTGAGGTGAGTTGAGAGAAACACTAATATACGGGAATAATGCCATTAGGAGTCACTTTAAAATTATGCCCCCTTAGCAGAATAATAGCAGTTCCAGGACAACCAGAGCTACAAATTGAGACCCCATCTTAAAAAAAATACCCCCCTAAAATCCCAAAAAGCAAAACAAAATGGGAGGCTTGTTTACCCCCATAACATCCTGCTATTTCACCAGTGAACATATCTTGCAAGGCCAATCCTTATCTTAACTCACTGGATTCATAGCTGAGTAAGACCGGGGGTGACTTTTCTCCCCGAATAGCATGCATAGCACTTTCTGTAACTAAGAAAGCTAGCTAGTAGGGATTAAGCTTCTAGGTTTTTACAAGGCTTTGCTTTCTCCATGTTCTAGGACTCAAGTATACAGTACATTCAGCAAAAGTCCTGTCTATGGGAGCCACTAACCTAGGGTTTGGTTTTGTTTTTAAATAGCCTATGATGTCAAGGGGAATAACTGTTCTCCCTATCATCTTACCTCAGCTACAGGGAAACTCCATTTAGACTCTTTGTATACATGTATAAATTTTAAAGAAAGCTTCTACAGTAGTAGGCTTTCCATATGGCATTTCTGTTATTCCTACCCCGCCCTCCTATGCCCTATTCTACTTAACCCTTACTGTTCTATTATTCACTCTTCCTCTTGAGATCAGCCTGCCCCTGCCTTCCAAGTGCATTGTCTCTTCCCACTTTAGTCATGCTTCCACTGGCTCCTTATTAATTTCCTGACTTCCATGGCTACTCAACTTAAATCATGCATCTAGAGTTAAAAGTAGTAACCATATATGAGACAGAACATGCAGTGTTTGTCTTTCTGGGTCTGGATTAACTCATTCAGAATGATTATTTCCAGTGCTATTCATTTACTTGAAAATTTCACTTTTCTTAACAGATAGATATTCCATTAAGTAAATGTACCACATAATCATTATTCCATTAATGGAGATATAGGTTGTTTCTACTTCCTGGTTATTATGAATAAAGCAACACCATGGATGAATAAACATCTCTGTAGTAAGACATAGTCTTTTGGTATATGGCTGATAGTAATACACCTGATCAAATGGTATATCTATTTCTAGCTATTCAGGAACCTTCACACTGATTTCTATACTAGCTTCAACAGTTTGCCTCCCATTAACAACGAATGAGTACTTCCCTTTTCCTAAACCCATACCAGAAATTGTTGTCTCCTGACAATCTTAGTCATCCTGAGTAGGGTTATGTGGAATCTCAAAGTAGTCTTAACTTGGAAGACTAAGGTAGCTAAACACTTGAAAATATTTCTCAATCATTAACATTTCTTCTGAGAATTTCATTAGTTCCATGTCCCAGTTTTAACTGGGTTGTTTGTTTTCTTGATGATTTGGTCTTTATGTATTCTAAATACTAACACTCCATCAAATATATAACTAATGTTTTTTCTCATTCTGTAGACTGCCTTTTTACTTGAATGCTATACAGAAGCTTTTTAGTTTTAAGATTCCATTTATAGATGGTTGGTTTTAATGTTACCAAGTCCTCAAGAAGTCATTTCTTGCATTTATAGTTGAAGTGCATTTGCTGCTCTTTATTCTTACACATTAAGGATATTGGATCTTATGTTGAGGTCTTGATAAAAATCTAGTTTCATTGCTCTTCATGTAACCATCCAACTAGGACCATTTGTTGAAGATGTTCTCTTTTCTCTAATGTGTATTTTGGTCTCTTTGTAAAAAATATCAGGGATGATGATACCTACAGCAGTGTTTTGTCTTGGAATTTTGATGAGGATCTTAGTGATCTGTAGATTGTTTTTGGTAGAATGGTTATTTTATAATATTAATCCTACTAATTGGGCATGGGAAGTCTGTACATTTTCAGTTGTCTTCTTCGGTGTCTAAGTTTTCATTGTACAAGTTTTTTCCTTCCATGACTGGATTTACTACTACAAAATTATTATTTTGAGGCTAATATGAATGGGATTGTTACTCAGATTTCTTTCTTGATATGTTTGTTGCTGGTATCTAATGGAGCTACTGGAGTTGTGTGTTAAGTTTGTATTTTACTACTTTGCTCAATGTGTTTATCAGCAGCCAGAGTTTTCTGATGGAGGTTTAGAGTCTTTTATGCATAGTATAATATCATCTGCAAATAAGAACACTTTGGTTTCATCCTTTCCAATTTGTGTCACTATTAACATCTTCAGTCATCTTGTTACTCTAATACTGCAATGTAAGCACTATATTAATACCGGAGAACATAGACACTCTTGACTTATTCCTGATTTTAGTGGAAATGTTCTTCATTTAATTCTAATGAAAACAAAATTAATACAGCTGAAGTCAAAAGCTGCTATGACAGAGTAAATGAGGTATTTGAAATTTAAGATTAAAAGAAATAGACTGGGGGTTGTATTTCAGTTAGTAGAGTACTTGCCTAACATGTACGACACCCTGGGTTGATCTCCAAACACAGCATAAATTGAAACTGGTATTGCATGACTAATCCTGCCACCAAGGAGAGGGAAGCAAGAGAATCAGAAATTCAAGAGCATTTTTACAAAGAATGTTCAAGGTCAGTCTAAGTTACATGAAATCTTATATCGGGAAAAAAACCAAACAAAAAACAAAAAAGACAAGAGCTGTGACACATAAGCAGTTGTGGACACACACATACAATCAGTAAAATTGCAAGAAAAAAAGGAAAGGAAAAACAGAACCAATAAAAATTGATAGTAGAAAATTTAAGTGTTCTATTTTATATTGGCTTTTCGTTTTCTACAATAAAGCAATACAGCATAAAGTAAAATTTTAAATGGGAAGAAACACTGAAAATACTATTGGTAAGCAATTGTCTGAAACAGATTTTGATAAGAGGTTGAACATGGTTGACTTTGTATGGACAGTTCAAATGCTACAATAAAATAACCAAACCAAAAGAAAATTTAATGAGGAAAAATGTGACTTCATCCATAATACAATATTTGAAGAGAATTAAGTTTATTTATTTATTTTTCTTCATTTTTCCAGACAGGGTTTCTTGGTAGCTTTGTAGACCAGGGTAGGTCTCAAACTCACAGAGATCTACTTGTCTGTGCCTCCTGAGTGCTGGGATTAAAGGTGTGTCTCACCACCACTTGGCAAGTAAGTTTAAATTACTGGCAGCAACATATTAAACTAAGATGGCAAATATGTACTGACTTCTATATCAATGTAGAAAGGATAAGAAATTTCTCCCAATGGCTAAAATCAAAAACACCAATGACAATTTATGCTGGAGAGGATGTGGTGAAAGGGGAACACTCCTCCATTGCTGGTGGGAGTGCCAAC